TTGTGGCATTTTGTTATGGCAGCCTCAGGAAGCAAATACACCTATCTTAGTAGTTCTTATCCAAGCCAAGGAAACACATGCAAGTTATGCCAACTCTCATGTCTATTCCAAGTATATATTCAGAGACTAGACATGAACACCATATGGATCTACAGACTAGTAGACGATGAACTGGATCTAGGCCAAGATCTTATTTATTACCTGGCCCTCAAATGCCCCAGCTGTGACACAGGGGCCATGATGATGCTTTAGGTCTCTGTATCAACTTCTATCCTGTGTCCAACAGACCTTAAAATGTTTGGGCATTCCCCTTTTCCCACTGTGTAATTACCTGGGTTAATGGCCAGAGATCCCTCTGGAGGAGGTCTGTGGGGATAGATACAATGTACACCTGCCATGATATTGCTATTTGTATGCCTACTAATGTAATGACTGCAGACCATCAGCTCAAAGGACATGTTGGTGATGTTGGTGTGCCCCTCACTAGCATATTCCTTGTTGCCTTTAATTTAACCTTTATCGTGTTCTCCAGTCTCATAGTAAACCTCATGCACGCCTAATTTTCTGAATCTTTTCACTCCTTTTACATCATGTACCATGGCTTTTTTGGCCTTTGTGACAATGTATGGGCCGCTGCTTTTGCATGCTTCTAGCAGCTATCTTAGCAGCATGTTCACATCTCTTGGGATTCTTACCAGGGTATTAAAAATCCTGTATTCCCAAAGAGTGCTACCGAATATTCTTTCTTATCTAACTTCATGTTTGGCCCCACTTCACCAAGTACCCTCAGAATCCAATCCTGTGTATACTGTCCTAGCTCCTGTGGGTAGATGTGGTGAGGTCCTGCAGCTCCTGTGAGGGACAGCCCCTTTTTTCCCTCAGCAAACCCCACATAACTTTGGCCAAGTTGTTTTATGACTTAACCCTTGTTGGATGAGTGAACAAAAAACATATATCAACTATGTAATAATTACACAATAAGAATAATGTGGCGAAAAAAACTACCAGCCAAAACATAAACAAGAAAATCAGCTTTCTAAGTATCTTCTCCTACAACCATGTGACAGACTTTATATTAATAGATAACAATTAGATAAACTGGTCCAAAGCAATGATGTCATTCTGTTAGCAAAATGCCACAGTATTCTAGTGAATGCACATATAAGAACTACAAAACAGAAAGGAAAACAAAATTGCAACCCAAGTGAGGGATTCATTTAGCCAGTCTTCAATTGAGAAAGGTAAGCTATAGTTACAACGTTGAACTTGAAAACCGTATTATCAAAGATTTCAATGAAAACTAACACAAAACTTTAGTGCTATCTTGTCTTAGAGAAAAATATTGGGTTGCAAAAACCTGAAACTTAGTTAAGTCACAACTGAGAGCTCAGAGTCAAAGCTTAAACATAAAAGAAGGGCCACCTGGACAGCTGCCAGTTAACTCATAATCCAGGTTTTATGCTCATATTAGCATTTAATTTACTTCATAGATAGTCCCTGATCCATTTCAATCATTAATTGAGCAAACTAACCACCATCCAGGTCTCAATTTCCAGTTATCAAGAGGTAAACTTTGGTGACCTGAGATAGCCCCTTTATTAGTAAATGTGTAACCCGGGGCAGATATATGTGTAGAGATGGTGAAAAAAAATTACTTCAAATTATTATATTTGACACATTTTTTGAATCCTGCATTTATGCATGTGTGGAACAAACCTTTAAATCATGTAGTTTTGTGCATGTTTGAAATTAAGTTTATTTGCTTAATTTAAAAAGGTGATTAGATTTGCAAACATGTCTTAGGTTCTTGGGAAGAATTTGTCCATTAAATTTAAAAATCTTGTCCAAGTGTTTGGGACAATCAAAGTTATTCAAAAATTCTAAGGAAAATGATAAATATATAAGTAGTGTTAAACATTTGGGAATAATTTAATCTCTTAAATGTAATAAAATGTACATGGAAGTTATTGTTTTATATTTTCACAAAATAAAATTGAGATAAAAAGATCTACAAGAATACCCTGTTTGGAGCATCTGGGTGGCTCAGTCGGGCGTCTGCCTTTAGATAGGTCATGATCCCAGGGTCCTGGGATAGAGTCATACAATCAGGCTCCTTGCTCGGCAGGGAGCCTGCTTCTCCCTCTCCCTCTGCCTGCTGCTCCCCCTGGTGATCTTTTTCTCTCTCACAAATAAATAAAATCTTAAAAAAAAAAAAAAAAAAAAAAATTACTAACAATTTTAGTGCCAGGTTTCTTTTCTTCATTTTTAATGAGTCATTCATTATTCATTTATCAACACTAAATAACAAACAAATCCATTTTGGTATATAAAATGAAAGGCTATCTTAAATGTTTAGTTCTTAAAACTTACTAATAATATTTATTTTTCATAAAGAGTAGCATTTAGAATTACGTATAACACATTATGATTAAAAAATAAGTAAACTTTTACCTTAGAAGAATAGCTGATATAAAAATTATTCACCTGAGAAATAATTCTTTCATTGTATGTAATATGTTCTTTCAGGAGAGAAAATTAAAAAATGGATGTTAGCAATATTAAAAATACATTAAGGATAAGCATTCCTATTTTTCAAAAAAAATAATGCCTATTTATGTGTTATATGAAAATACAGAATGGTATTTCATCAAACTCATAGTACAATCAGAATGAAATGTATGACCAATAGAATGATGAAAACAAGGACACATCTACCCTAAGTAGAATTAATTGTGCTCCAGTAAAAGTGTTAGTGCCACCAGCAAAGCATTTATATTATTATAGTTACATAAGTATTGATCTTTCTCCTACTAGATTGTAAGATCTTACAGGGCCAAAATGGATAGTCCTCTTTCTACCCAAAGAACCCACTGCTTAAAAGATTGTCACTAAAACAGTCTGTCGAATTAAATTACTCTAAAAATATTTTAATGATTAAAATCAAAATATTGATTTAAGGTAGTTTCTGTCAATTTAAAAGAAAAATGTTTTTAAAGAAAACCTACCGCCTTTTGTTGTTCTCTACTGAAAACGAACTTGAAAAAAAAAATTAAGAGCCCACAAAGTGAAATGTAAAGTACCCTCACAGAGCGTTTTCATTGCTACCATCTGCTTGGTTCCTAACAGCTGCAGAAAGATTTCGGTTCGCCTTATCAGTCAGTAACCAGAGTCACTCAGTAGTAATCCAAGCTTTACTTTTAGAAAAATTTGATCATACACAGAAAGTATAAATGAGGTGGTGCTACTTTTTCCAACCTTTGCCTAATATATGTGTTTATATTTATTATCGGTATAGAAAATTTAAGATCAGTAATTTAAGACATTTTGAAATAAAATGTGTCCAAAAACATGAACCGTCCACTGTAAATAAAGATAAACTTCCTATTTGACTCTGTTTCCTTTTCTTCACTTCAATTTACCCTTGCTTTCCTAAGTATTAGTTAAATTATACTTCTGGAATTTAAAACTCTAATAACTTAAACTTCGGAAAAGGAAAGATTTTGCTACTGTGAAAAAGGGACTATTCCTACATATAATTTAACTCATGATCAAAATATAGTCACTCTACGTAAAAACTAAAAAAAAAAAAAAATTCAAGTGTCTTTTTTTTTTATTGCTTACAAGAGCACAATAATCAAGTAACTGAAGAAACATAATGGATAAGAACATGTTTACAACTACTCAGCACAACCTCAACTTTCACTTCCCTTTACGTTGGTCACACTTTCATAGATGTACAGTGAATCAATGTGTGGAAGCAGGTAATGTTCTCCATCAGCCACGCTCTATTTAAATTAACACATTTTCCTCAATGTGGTCAGGTCCTAAGAAACTACCTTTTCAGTGACTGTCCTAGCATAACTAGAGATTGCTTTGTCTCTTACAAAGTTTAAGTGCTCCAGGCAATATATGGCTATGAAAACATACCCCCAAAAAAGAAGCCCCTGGGTATTTATATGAATACTAGATACTGAAAGGTATCTCCTTAAATTTATGGCACCATTTAGCTGTGACTTGCTTTAGAAAATGCAATGTGCTATTTAATTATCTACAAAGGTGAAGATTTCCTTTCAAATGCATCGAGTTGTACTCATTATGCAGTACTAAAGATGAAAAAGTGAGATTCTCAGGTGAAAAATCCAAAAACTTGATATTATGAGGCAAGTGGCTGTTAGTTGTTGACAGAACATTAAAAACTCTGCCAAGTAAAGCCTACAAGGAGAAATAACTTATTAGCTGTGGGTTGTAAAATCAAAGCAGACTATAAAACAGCTCATTTAGATGAGTGACAGATTAGATCAGATTGTCTCTGACTGACAATCTATCAGAGGTAGCTGGAAAAGTAGGTATCTTTAGGAATATGTACAGCAGTTGCCAAAACAATGGGGGACATATCAGTCATGGGCTGTGGACTCAGAAAGGAATGCTATTTTATATCAGCTGCTAGAGCCTAAAACCACAGATGTTTTATTACACAGTAGTGTTAAAAGTTCATTAAGTTTACCTAAGTTAAAGTGTTAACAGTATTTCAGTAAAGGATATGGCTATTTAAAGTTAACTCAATACCAAATTCTTCTGTTGTTGCTGTTGGTTTTTTTTTGTTTTTTTGACTCTTACAATGCAATAATTACACTCCCAAAATATTTGTCTTTGCAAGTTAATAACTTTCATTCACCTGGTGGAAACAGAATGTCAGCTGGTACTATTTGTATTACATTATACCTATAGTCCACACATGGGTTCTACAAGGAAGTACTTCCAAGATTACATTAACCATAACCTTACTTCAATTCTGACAGTAAAATTCTGTTTCTCATTAAAGTGAATTATGTAGTTTAATTCTAATCCTTAACTTAACCCCCAAAGGCTTATTTATCTCCCACCATGTTCCAAAGTGAATCTGAGGTGAGTTACTAAGTAAATCTACACAGATAAACTTTCAATTTTATAAAGGAGAGATTTAAATAATAAAGTTTACCAACAAAAATGATTACCAAATTATTTTATTCTGTAACAAAATATAATGTGCCTTTGGGAGAAAGATGATAAAAAAATTTATATATTCCATGAGGGGTACAGGAAAAGGTACGGCGAGTCTTCCAATTGTGTAGATGATGTCATTCTAAGGGCAATCAGGCTATTACATAACAAGACTCTACACAAAGTCTTCCTTTAATTGTATTATAATTTAAAAGCCTGTGAATTTTAGTGTAAGCAAAAGAAATGTTTTTTCAAAGACCTAAATCATCTATGTCTAACATCACCTGATAGAATAAGGTCTCGTTTCATTTATCATGATGAGTAAGTGCCGCCTCGTGGATGTCGCTGCCTGGAAATCTCTACCTACATAGAGATTATCTGGTCTTTATTGCTTTCTGGGATGCCAACTTCCACTCAGTTTCTTTGGAAATTAAAAAGGAGAAGCAAGGAAGTTTTGCTTTATATTTCTTTTCTATATATTATTTATGTTTTAGTTCTTTTTATTTAGACTGGGATATCACATACTTACGTTAAGATAGTATAAATTTAAAAATAAAGATAACCATTAAAGATAAAATTATTCTATCACTATTTCTTTAAATCATAAATTTAAAAGCACTGTTTCTGAGAAGTAAAAAAGTAAGTATTAGACCTCACATACAGACTGAAGTTCAATATATTTCATGTACAAACATGCAGTTTCAATTATTTATACACAAGTTTTATTTAAAGAAAAGCAAAACACAAAACCACAGCATTTCAGTCAAGGAAATTAGGAAAATCCCAAGTGCTTTCATGGTTCTTCAGTCACCATCCAAATAATACACCTTTTAAACCAGAGTTAAAATAAATTCAGTAAGCAGACTGAACTGCTTCAGAACACTACTCTGTCTTCCTGCGTTCTTTCCCACCAAAGCGTGCTGTTTAAGGTTCCACAACTGTTATCTTCTTCCTCTTGTTCTTTAGTGAGTTCTACAAAAACCTAAATGAAAGTAAATAAATTAATACAGTATTCCAGTATGGCAATTATCTCAAAGAATGTTTAATTCAGAAAGAGTGTAAGACTCTATCTAAATACATTAACCATTCAACTATCAAGAGATACGTTTGCATTAATATTACTTAAACAGAATAACCTCCTTTAATCACAAAGTTGAATGCTATGAGGATTAACAGATTGTTTCTTGATAAACATATAAGTAGCAGTCATAAAAAGATTTATAAATATTTCAGCAATGTAACTTCAGATATATGAAATAACAACACCCATTTTATTTACTAAAGAATAATAGTGAGCCTTTCAAAATAAGCAGATGGAGAGCCTAAAGTTGTTTAAGATTATGCAAAGTTTAGGCATATTGTGTAACAATTTGTCTCTGGTTCATAAACACCATCCCTCTCCAATATAAATCTAAATGATTAGGGGCACCTGGGTGGCTCAGTCGGTTAAGCTTCCAACTCTTGGTTTCAGCTCAGGTCATGGTCTCAGCATCGTGAGATCAAGCCCCATGTGGCTCCATGCTTACTGGAGTCTGCTTTCCCTCTCCCTCTGCACCTCCCCTTACACACATTCTCTCTCTCAAATAAATAAATCTTTAAAAACCTATAAATAAATCTAAACAATTAGACAACACTTACTTATATAAAAGAATTTTTAAAAATTTAACTTTAGAGTACCTGTTCCAATGTTGCTTGAGAAAAGCTGTATTCTTCAAAGGCAAAAGTATGTTTAGCTATTAAAATATGAAAACAATATTTTACTTATTAATATTTCTAAAGAAAAAAATGGCAGAATAAAAATAAATAAAAAATATTTCTAATAAATAAAAATTTCTAAAGAATAAAAATTCTTCATTTCTAAAGAATAAAAAAAATAACTACTAAGTGGTTAAAAACCTGTTTTAAAAAAAATTCTGTAATCCACTTAAATTTGAAACTGCCAAAAAATGTTATTTTCCTCTATCTTGGTTCCCTGAGGCACCCTACCAGCAACATTACTTGCCTCACCTCACCCTTTCACCCTCCTCTGTCTTCCTTACTGTGGCTTTTCTCAGGACTTCTTTGGCTCCCTGTTCCCTATCTCCCATTCCCCAATTTCCACTACAGCCTGTTCTGAACTTCTTGAACTAGATGCTGGATACAGTTTCTATGGCCGTATACTTTTTTGTATTTATTTCAGATCCTGTTGCAATCTAATCTAACATTAAATTTTCTGGCTTTCTATTTATTCCTGGAGTGAAATTCTCCCCAAGCTTTATTAGGTTGTTGCATAGTTTACAAATTCCATAAAACAACCTGTGTGAGAATACCTGTTCCATCCAGGAGTTTACCTCTTACCACTTGCCGGCAGGGTATCTTTATCCTACCAACCATTTATTTTAAAAAAACATCACATTTCAATAAGCTTCTTTAAGCTTCCAGGAATGTCCATATCCCTACACTATGGATTTTCCTCTCCTCCCTTATGCTGCCACTGGTTTTGCTACCACTGCTACTTCTAGGGCCTGATACAAAGTGAGGACTCTGGAAACTCAATGCTCTCACTTCTGGAATGAACCACTGTGTGCTAAGTAAACTGAACTTTCTCGCAGATGCACTGTGAAAAACCACAGTGATGTCAACTAAAATAGTAAAAGGTTTACACTACAATATACCTGACCTACCAAACCTCTACAATGTTAGTGTTTAACCAATATCTTACATTAAATTAATAAAAGGTTATCTTTTTATTTACAATAGCTTCCACAATAAACAGTCCCAATTTCTAAATTTTTAAATAAAATTCTTTCATAAATTGAAAGCTACCTTACAATCTTTTTCAAATCTTACCTTCTTCCAGCTTAGAAAAAGATTGTGAAAGGGATGGAACATCTTCCTTAGGAATCTTATAAGCCAAAATAGAAGAAAAACTGGAAACAGATAAAATATTAGAAAAATTTAAAAATGACTACTAATATTTTCTAAAGCTAAAGTTCAAATTTTATTTAAGGTTAAGAATTAAACTCCAACAACTTATTTTGATACATACTTAGAAAAAAAATTGTTTTAAATCTTAAAATATTTCCATGTGAAATTCTCTCATTACTACTGGTATGAGAACTTTTTAAAATTTAAATACTATTGAATATTGCAAGATCTAATACTAAGTTGGATATAAAACCGCAGTTATCAGACTATATTAGTCCAATACTGGTGATACAAGCAGAACTTTTTTTTTCTAATCCTTAAAGCAATAACCACTTTTACAACTATTGCTCTACAAAAAAAAAAAAAACCAAAAAACAAAACTACATTTTTAAAATCTTTACCTCTCTTGACGGCTTGCATTTGGGAAAATATACTGTATTTCTCTTTGAAGGCGGTCTACTTCTAGGTTTTCTATCCAGTCCTTTAACTTTATTTCCAAAAAGTAGCCTTTTCCAAATTTACTCTTCAGATGCTGGACAGTCCCAATACATCTGTAGTGATTTTAAAAGAAAGCTCAGATATAAAATGACTTGACAGTTTCAAAGAATGATTTCTCAATGGATGAGTTAAATTACATGTATGATGGGATATTTTTAAATGTATAGAGAAGTTGCAAATATAATACAGAGCGTCTCTATATACCCCGCACCCAGTTTCAGTTTCCCTATCATTATGATCTCATATGACCATGGTACATTTGTCAAAATTAAGAAACCAACACTGATATATAACTATTAACTTTATATTGGACTTTATTTGGATTTCACCAGTTTTTCACTAAAGTCCTTTTTCTGTTCCAGGATCTACCCAGGATACACACTGCACTTAGTCCCCATAGGTCTGTGACAGTTTCTCACCCTTTCCTCCTTTTTTTGCCTTTGACAGTTTTAGGAATTGGTCAAGTGTTTTGGTAGAATGTCTCTCAATGTGGAATAGTCTGACATTTTTCTCTTTAGACTGGGGTTAGAAGTTTTGGAGGAAATGCCACAGAGCTGAAGTATCTTTCCTATCAGGGGTACATGATGTCCACACGAAATTGCTCTTCTGTGAACTTACTATTGCCCTCTTTCCATACATTAGAAGAGACTGGCTAAATTCAGACTACACTTAGGAGGTGGAGGATTACCTCCCCCTCCCAGAGGGAGCAGTATCTACATATACTGTTTGGAATCTTTCCCATAAGGAAAATCTGCTCTCCTCCCACATTTATTTTATTTATTCAACCATTTATTTACAAAGAGTATGAACTTGAATTATGAATATATTTACTTTATATTTTGGATTATAACCCAATAAAATGCATAGCAATTTTTTTAAAAAAACAAATATCGGGCGCCTGGGTGGATCAGTGGGTTAAAGCCTCTGCCTTCGGCTCAGGTCATGATCCCAGGGTCCTGGGATTGAGCCCGCATCGGGCTCTCTGCTCAGCAGGGAGCTTGCTTCCTCCTCTCTATCCGCCTGCCTCTCTGCCTACTTGTGATCTCTGTCTGTAATAAATAAATAAATAAATAAATAAATAAAATCTTTAAAAAATCTTTAAAAAAATAAAATCTTTTAAAAAAATAACAATTATCATGTTTAAAAAAAACATTCCAAGTTATTGAGCCATTAAACTAATATACAAATGCAAAGTAGCTAGCAAAATTTCTTAGAAATAAACTATATTTCCAAGTAATTCTACAGAAAACTAATAGCCAAAAATTCAAGTAAGGACACTTTTTTTGGCATTTAAATTTATTACTGTAAGTTTTTGAAATGATTACTCAGCAACCCCCAACTCCCGCCACCACCAAACAGCATGCCTTTCAGACATTTACCTTAACTGCCCAGATACCATGATGGCCACCCGGTCACAGACAGCCTCTGCTTCCTCCATGTAATGAGTGGTCAGAATAGCAGCCCGTTTTTTATTTTTAAATGCAGTTCGAATTGCTCGCCTATAAAAGATAAGTAAAATAAACAGAGTAAAGCATCTCAATGTTAATGAAAATCCAACTATTTGGTTAACTAAAATTTATTAGTATCTATTGCTATATATCTATTGCCCAACTATGATTCTTCTAATATCTTTTCCTTTATTTTTGAAAGTTTGTCAAATAAACAGAAATTCCATGATTTCAAATGTTTTATGCATTAAAAATAAATGATAAAATTTGATGCTTTTTCATGTTGTAACTAAAATAGCCATAAAATCATAGGGAAAATGTAATGTGTTTCTATCCTACACCTCACACTTTACGACATGGAAATGTAAGTTCAAAGAGTTGGTCAACCAACTAGCACCATGAATTCCTAGGCATTCCAACATAAACTCAAGCCAACATTATTATGAGAATTAGAACTTAAGTTAAATGACTCGGAAAAAAATCTTTTAAAAGCTATTCAGACAGCAGTACTCTTTTTTTTTTTTTTTAAAGATTTTATTTATTTATTTATTTGACAGGCAGAGATCACAAGCAGGCAGAGAGACAGACAGAGAGAGAAAGGGAAGCAGGCTCCCTGCTGAGCAGAGAGCCCAATGCGGGGCTCGATCCCAGGACCCTGAGATCATGACCTGAGCCGAAGGCAGAGGCTTAATGCACTGAGCCACCCAGGCGCCCCAGCAGTACTCTTTATCGTAATAATTAACCATATATTTATTTTTATTCTTGAATAAATATTATTAATATTTTATGAAAGTATAAAGCCTGATAAAGTTTAAAAATTTATGGCAGGGGTTCCTAGGTGGCTCGGTTAAGCATCTGCCTTTGGCTCAGGTCATGATCTTCAGGTCCTGGAATTGAACCCTATGTCGGGCTCCCTGCTCAGTGGGAAGCCCATTTCTCCCTTTCCCTCTGCTTCTCCCCACTGCTCATGCTCTCTCTCTCAAATAAATAAAAGCTTAAAAACAAATAAATAAAAGTTTATGGTGTTCCCTAGAGATCAAAATGTTTAATTTTTAATTACTATTTTGTCATTTGTGTAAGATTTTAAATCAACATGCATATATAACTAATATAAAACCATTAGTTATAATAAAACAAACTATTCTTTTATTTTAAAGTATGATCTAGTATAATGTGTCTCAAGCATCTTCCACGTCATACTCACCACATGTGCTGTTTCGCTTTAGGATCCATACCAGTAGATGGTTCATCTAACAGGGTAATGTGAGGATTCCCCAGCATACTCAGGGCAAAACACAACTAGATAGAAAGAAAATGGGGAGGGGACTAATATTTGCATAAGAAATTTTATCAAGACAGTATTAGGCTCTAAACTATAAATAAGCCATATACACATCTGTTGTTTAAAAAAAAAAAAAGTACCTTTCGCTTGATTCCTGTAGGTAGTTTCTTTATAGTTTTCTGAAGGTGTTCTTTTAAATCAAGTGCATTTGTTATCCTGCAAAATAGGTAATACAAAATGACTATATGATCACTCACTGTTTGTAATCATTGACAATCTTCTTTCCAGAACACTCAGCTGGAGCTTACTATAAATTAGACCTCCAATCTACATAATCTTAAACAAATCACTATCTTGACAAAAAGGTTTACTTTAAGTTTGACATTTACAGGTATATTTATTCTGTAATTAAAAATAGAAAAATTATTTTTTATTTTTATAACTATCATAATTATGTAAAGAATATATGAAAAAGTAATGACCATTTTCTATGAACAGTATGATCCACAAAAATTGTTTTTAAAAATTAAACTTATAAATGTGAGATGTAAACCTTTCTCTGGGTAACAAAAAGTTTTAATTTTACCGAGTTATGACTTCTTTCATGTCACTTGAGCTCATTCCTTTCACAGCTCCATAAATTTCAAAATGTTCCTGCAATGTAATATCCGGCCACAGTGGGTTTATCTGAGGACAGTATCCCATATACTTAACGGAATCATCACCATCAGTTGGCTCTGAAGAATAATCTCCAAGAAATACCTACAGAAAAACAAACCAATTTTAAATAACTTTTGGCTTAATTTACACTGTGAAGAAGTGGTAAGTGAATTAATTCAAACTCTTCTCTAGAACCAGGGTAATATTAAGTCAAAATTTTATTCCTTTTGATGAAGAAAGGACATGCATAGCTAAGTCAGAGTTCAGTGACATGGCCCAAAAGGGCGTTAAGGAATGTAGGTTGACTAAAAATACAAACTCCAATTTTAACTAGGATGATCAAGGGACCTCACTGGAAGGTGTTATTTGTGCCATGGAGGTAAAACAAATTAAATCATTTAGATTTCTACAGGGTAAAGAACACTAAATATAAGGATTAGTTAAGGCAAAAACCCAGAAGAGTATGCCTGGCATTTTCCAGGAAATCAATGGACCAGTGTGGTTGGTGTAAAGTAAGAAATGGGGAGAGGAGCAGAAGACAGGATCAGAGCAGTTCTGTGAAGTTTCCACAAAGTGGTGATATGCTTACAATCAAAGGGTAATTAATGGCAGGGTCAATATTAGTTCCTATATCTCCTTAAGTTAATAAGACTGTCTTCCACAGATCAGGCTGGCAGCAGGTCTGTCCACGGAAACCTGGCAGGCCAGAAAGGAGTGGAAGGAAATATTCAACATGCTGAATGGGAAAAATATGCAGCCAAGAATTCTTTTTCCAGGTTGTCATTCAGAATAGAAGGACAGATAAAGAGTCTCCCAGACAGGGGCACCTAGGTGACTCAGTCAGTTGAGTGTCTGACTCTTGTTTTTGGCTTAGGTCATAATCTCATGGGTCATGTTATCAAGCTCCACCTCCAAATGGGGCTCCACATGTGGTGGGGAGACTGCTTGGTGGTTCTCTCCCTCTACCTCTCCCTGACTCACTCTATCTCTGTCTCTGTCTCTCTCTGAAGTAAATAAATAAATCTTAAAAAAAAAAAAAAAAAAGGAGTTTCCCAGATAAACAAAAACTATTTTTATTAGTTCGTGACCACTAAAGCAGCCCTGCAAGAAATTTTAAGGTGAACTCTTCGAGCGAAGGAAAAATAAAGGCCAAAAGCAGCAAGGTTAGAAAGAACCAGAGAACATTACCAGAAATACCAATTTTACAGGTAACACAATGGCACTAAATTCCTATCTTTCAGTAATCACTCTGAATGTAAATAGACTAAATGCTCCAATTATAAGACACAGGGTACCAGAATGGATTAAAAAACAAGACCCATCTATATGCTGCCTATAAGAGATTCATTTTAGACCTAAAGCTGAGGTAGTCATACTTCCATCAGACAAACTAGATTTTAAAACAAAGACTGTAAAAAGAGATGAAGAAGGGCATTATGTCTTAATTAAGGGGTCTATCCATCAAGAAGATCCAACAATTGTAAATATTTATGCCTCTAACTTGGGAGCACCCAAATATACAATTCAATTAATAATAAACATTAAAAACTCAATGATAATAATATAATACAATAAGGGGACTTTAAAACCCCACTTACAGCAATGGACAGATCATGTAAGCAGAAAATCAGTAAGGAAACAATGGCTTTCAGTGATACACTGGACCAGATGGACTTAACAGATATATTTCGAACATTTCATCCTAAAGCAGAATATGCATTCTTTTCGAGTACACATGGAACATTCTCCAGAACAGATCACATACTGGGTCACAAATCAACCCTCAACAAGTACAAAAAGACTGAGATCACACTATGTGTATTTTTAGACCACAGTGCTATGAAACTTGAAGTCAACCACAAGAAAAAATTTGGTAAGACCACAAATACATGGAAGTTAAAGAACATCCTAAGTTAATCAGGAAATTAAAAGAAGAAAAAAAAATACACAGAAGAAAATGAAAATGAAAGCAGGACAGTCCAAAACCTTTGGGATACAGCAAAGAGGGAAATATATTGCAATACAGGTCCACCTCAAGAAGCAAGAAAAGTCTCAAATACACAAGCTAACCTCATACCTAAGGGAGCTAGAAAAGGAATAGCAAATAAAGCCTAAAGCCAGCAGAATATAAATAATAAAGATTAGAGCATAAATACACAATATAGAAACAAACAAACAAAAACAGTAGAACAGATTAACAATACTAAGAGCTGGTTCTTCGAAAGAATTAGTAAAATTGATAAACCTCTAGCCAGACTTATCAAAAAGAAAAGAGAAAGGGCCCAAATAGATAAAATCATGAATGAAAGAAGAGAGATCACAACCAAAACCACAGAAATGCAAATAATTACCAGACAATGCTATGAAAAATTACATGCCAACAAACTGGGCAACCTGGAAGAAATGGACAAATTCCTAGATACCTACAAACTAACAAAGCCAAAACTGAAACAGTAAGAGAAATTTTGAACAGACCCAAAACTAGCAAAGAAACTGAATCAGTAATCAAAAATCTCTCAACAAACAAAAGTCCAGGGTTGGATGGATTCCCAGACATTTTAAGAAGAGTTAATGCCTAGTCTCCTCATACTATTCCAAAATATAGAAATGGAAGGAAAACTTTCAAACTCATTCTATGAAATCAGCATTACCTTGATTCCAAAGCCAAAGACCGCACTAAAAAGGAGAATTCCAGGCCAATATCCTTGATGAACATGGATGCAAAAATTCTCAATAAAATACCAGTGAATCAAATTCAACAGTACATTAAAAGAATTATTCACCATGATCAAGATGGGTTTATTCCTAGGTTGCTGGGGCGGCTGAACATCCGCAAACCAATCAATGTGATACACCACATTAATAAAAGGATAAGAACCATATGATCTTGTCAATAGATGAAGAAAAAACATTTGACAAAAATACAGATCTTTTCTTAATAAAAACCCTCAAAAGGTAGGGATAGATGGAACATACCTCAATATGGCCTTTGCATAAAGGCCATATACAAAAGACTCACAGCTCACCCTTGATGGGGAACAAGACTAGGATGTCCAGTCTCACCATTACTATTTAACATAAGCCTTACCTTAGCAATCAGACAAAAAGAAATCAAAGGTATCCAAATTGGCAAGGAAGAATTCAAACTTTCACTTTTTGCAAATGACATGATACTTTATGTAGAAAATCTGAAAGACTCAATCAAAACATTGCAAGAACTCATACATGAATTCAGCAAAGTTGCAGGATATAAAATCAATGTGCAAAAATCTGTTGCATTTCTATACACCCATAACGAAGCAGCAGAAAAATAAATCAAAAAATCGATCCCATTTGCAATCAGACCAGTAACAGTTAAAATACCTAGGAATAAACATAGCTAAAGATGTAAATGGTCTGTACTCTGAAAACTACGGAAGATGCTGAACTTTCACTCACCATCAGGGAAACACAAATCAAAACCACAATGAGATGCCACCTCATACCGGTAAGAATGGCTGAAATTCACAACGAGAAACAACAGGTGTTCGCAAGGATGCTGAGAAAGGGGAACCCTCTTGTACTGTTGGTGGGAATGCAAACCATTGCAGCCACTCTGGGGAACAGTCTGGAGGTTCCTCAAAGAGTAAAAAACAGAACTACCCTATAATCCAGCAATTGGACTACTAAGTATTTACCCAAAGGATACAAAAATACAGATTCAAAGGTGTGCATGCACCCTGATGTTTATAGCAGCATCATCAACAATAGCCAAACAATGGAGAGAGCCCAAATGTCCACTGACTGATGAATGGATAAATGACACACACACACACACACACACACACACACACACACACACACACACTGGAGTATTACTCAGCCATCAAAAAAGAATGAAATCCTGCCATTTGCAATGATGTGGATGGAGCTAGAGCATATTATGCTAAGTGAAATAAGTCAGAGAAAGACAAATACTGGATGATCTCACTCATATGTGGAATTTAGGAAAACAGATGAACATATAGGAAGGGGAAAAAGAAAAAAAGGAGACAGGGAAACAAGCTTAATGATAGAGAACAAACTGAGGGTTAATGGAAGGAAGCCGGTGGGGGATGGGCTAGACAGGGGATGGATATTAAAGAGAGCACTTGTGATGAGCTCCAGGAGTTATATGTATGTGATGAATCACTGAATTCTACTCCAGAAACTAATATGCACTGTATGTTAACTAACAAAATTTAAAAAAAAGAGAGATTGTCTTCCATTAAGTAGGTAGACAAATCACCCATGAATGTAATAATTATAAAAGCAAAAACATTGTCTATGTGTGCATCTGCATGTGTGTAAATTTTATTGTGTCCATTATTTTCAAAGATAACCAAAAAGATAATATGATTAAGCTATACTAAAAAATGAATACTATGAACATAAAATCCTAATCGGCTGTTAAGAAATTTATTTTAACTAAAAATGTAAATCATAGTCAGAATCTTCCACACCCTTATATGTCATACCTGGCCTGAAGTTGGCTCAATATCACCAACCAGAGTATTGATAATTGTGCTTTTGCCTGCACCATTTGGACCCAGGAGCCCCAAGATCTCTCCTAAAAAAGTTGGAAGAAAAATCATCATATGTAAATCCAATTAAAAATGGAAATTACTCTTCTGGAAAAATTATTTAAGAAAAAACAAATACCAGCCTTTTTTCACACAAAAAGAGACATATTTAGTTGCCACTTTCTTTACTTTTCTTGTAAGAAGAAAATCTTTCTTGTCATCATATTCTTTATGCAAATTGCTGACCATAATGGCTGGCTTCTAATAAGGGAAATAGGATTTAAAAAGAGAATAATAAATCAGATATACCTATCATGAAATGACAGGCTGCCCACAATTCATGTCCATATATCATAAGAACTATATTCACTAATAAGAAATATTATGTAAATAAAGATCCATTTATGACTGAAATAATGTCTTATTCAAAAATAGACAAATACATTTTTTCAAAGAAAAGACTTTTTAATTCATATGAAAAGTATTTTTCAGATTAATTCCTGTACATGATGACTGCACATTCAATAAGACTTATGATAAAGACTAAATTACCTCCTCACAACACTGGCAACTCATTAGCTCTTTGACCTTTAGTCTTTCAGCTTTGACATCTTCATCTTCATCCTCATTGCTTGGTGGTTCTGGATACTTCCTATTTTTGGACTTTGTTGAAAGAGTCCTATACATTAAAGATAATGGATTTTCAAATAATTAATAGGGTAAGAAATTCAGCACTTCATGGGGAAAAGACCAAAAAAATACACCAATCTGAGATCTGTGATCTTCTTTCTGAAAGGTGGAATTACAGAGCTATTTTTCACTTATGAATCCATTTGGATGATGTTATCAAAATTCATTCATTTTTCAACATCATATATGACTGGTATGTGTCATGTACTATTTCATACAAACATAAAAAGATTTAAAAAAGCATTTAGCCAACCCTCAAAGAATTTACTGTGTGGGTATACATGACATTGTCCTGGGCCAAGTGGATATAGAGGGCTGAACTCAGAACTCACAGGAACACTAGAAAAGTAGGCAGAGAAAAAAAAAAGTGCTTCAAAAGGAAATTTTGAAGTATAAGAGAGGTAAAGGGATAAAACAGGAGTTGACATTATGGACAAAAAAGGAACAAGAGAAAAGTATAAATAAGGAGGAAGAAGTAAATCATAGGAAAGTAGCAGTTGAGATGAGTAAGCAGAGCCTACTTGATGAGCGACAGGAAATCATTAGTCACCTTACTGAAAATAGCATCAGCAGAGAAGCAAGTGCAGAAACCAGATTGCAGGGAGTTAAGGAGTGAACGGGAGGTGAGGAACTGGAAGTAGAAGCTTCTTGCTATGAAAGAAAAGACATACAGGACAAGAGCTAGAGGGATTCAAATTTAAATGAGATTTAGGAGTTCTGATTTCTATTAGTTTGTTTTATGTAAGAAAGGTTAACTCCCTCCCCAGAGAAAAATATCCTATTTAGATCCAAAAGGGAAAGATACAGAAAGAGAAAATAAAAGTAACAGAGCAACGTCCTTAAGTAGACAGAATAAATGAAGACATGGGTAACAGGTGGGGTGCCTCTCCCTCTGGAACTAGGAAAAGGCATAAATGATGAAAGAGGTGGATAAGTGTGTAAAGATTTCTAATTAAGTGCTTCTGTTTTCAGAGATGGCAAGATCTTCTACTGAGAAGTAGAAAATGAGGGGAGGTGACCTGGAGAAGTTGAGGAACACAAAGAAGGCTTGGGATAACTATCGAAAAGAGACAGGAAGAAAATGGGGTAACAAGTGTTAACACAAAGCTGAATTTATACAGGATAAATCCATTGTATTAGCAAACTGCACTGTTAGGTTGATTTTCTCTACCCTGTAATTAGACTTACCAAAAATTATGATTTTTAGCAGACAAGTGAAAGAAATACCAAAGTTGAATACAGGGTGCTGAAAGGGGTGAAAGTGATGAATCACATGAGTGAAGCTGAACAGAGAAAAGGTGAAAACAGTGATTAGTAGATACATCTGAAGAACAAACTCAGGGGTAGAAACCACAGGAGAAAAGTCCAATAAGACTAATAAAATAAGAAAGCTGGAAACATGATATGTGACTGGTAGCATGGGACACAGATGAAGTGAAGAGCAGTGATGGCCTGGCTCTGACCCAAATCAACACATGAGTGCAGAGAAAATCAGACACTGAGGGATAGGGTGTTAAAAAGGTTATCTCAGTGGACGCTGATTCTCCCCCAAGATGACTGCAGGAGAAAGAAGGAGAGCCAGATGCTAAGTCCTCAGTGGATAATAAATATGTTCACAGCAGCATTATACATAATGGCCAAAAATAGAAACAACTCAAATGTCCAACAACTAATGAACAGATAAGTCAAGTGTTACCATATGACTTATCTGCAGTGTAATATTAGTAAGAAAAGAAAAAAGTAATGAAGTATTGCTACATCATGAACCTTCGAAACATTATGGTAAGTAAAAGCAGCCAGACACAAAAAGACTATATATTATATAATTCCATTCATATATATGTTTAGAATTGGCAGATCTGTAGCAACCAGATTAGTAAATTAGTGGTTATACAGGGCTGGGCACATGCACAAGGTGGGGGGCACTGATGACTCTAAGGGGTTTTTTTGAGAGTGAAGGAAATTACCTAAAAGTAGATTATATACTATGTAAGTATACTAAAAAAAAATTAAAACTTTTAAAAAAAAATTAACTGACCTGAAAAAAGGGTCCTTTCTTATTGACCTGCCTCCATATTTTTTCTCATAGTACTGTAAGAGGAAAACCCAGAGCACGCACTGCAGGTAAGGCTACAAGAAGAACACATAAGAGCTCATGACTCAATCTTTTTTCCCCCATATCAATAGAACAAAGACCACATACATCAGGTTCCTTACCATCACACCAAAATAATCATTACTTTCTTTACATGTCATATGTGTTAAGATTGTTAATGCAAACCAATGTAGATTTTTAGTAAAATAATCCTTCACATATTTTTCTACCTCCATAAAATTCATCGGTTGTCAGCTTCATAAAATATAATCACAGGAAAAGTCATTTGTGCTTCTGAGGAAGCCAGGATTACAATTAAATAGAATAACATAAGAGAGCCAAATATATTTAAAATGGACATAGTCAATAAAGGCATTACCACCAAAATGCATACTGGATGGCACTAACTAACCCACTTGACTTTTTGAGGCACCTTCATTCTTATGCAACACGGTAAAAACTAAAAAGAGAGTAAAAATCATACAACCAAACTGCTCTGAAGGTAGCATGCTAAGGCCAAAATTTTTGTTATTTCTTACCGATACAACAGCCACCAAAAGCCTATCCCATGGATTATAGGTGTCTTCATTTTTTCGAATATTCTTCCAAGAAATCTAAGACAAAAATTTTTTTAAATTGACATGCTGCTGTGATAAGATGATATAATGGTATTTGGTCTTTGACCTAGTCCCCAGGACACAGGGACAGAGGTGAAAGGAGGATCTTTTGTTATTTAAAATAAGCCCCAATCAACCGAAACAGTTCATTCTACAGAGGTGACTCTTGGAGGAAGGTGCTGTTTGACAAGGGAACCAACCAAGTGATTAGAAGGTGGGAACTACCAGCCCCATCCACTGATCAAAAGGGGAGAGGGACTGATTATCTCATTATGCCTCAGTAAGGAAACCTCCATAAAATCCTCTGTGTTAAGCACAGGGTTTGGAGAGTTTCCAGGACGGTGAACACATCCACATGCTGGGAGGGTGGCATGCTCAAAACTCCACAGGGTCAAAAGCTCCAGTACTTGGGACTCTTCTGGACTTTGTCTTCCCTATCTCTGAATCTACTTACTTGCATATCCAATATAATAAACTTGTAAAAGTACATAAAGTGTTTCCCTAAATTCTGTAAGCCATTATAACAAATTAGTGACCATGTCAAGAGGTCACAGGTACCGTGGATTTGTAGCCACCTGAGACACAACAAACACGGGTTAGCTGCAGACCCACTACTTGGATCCGGCATCTGAAATGAAGGGGGCAGTCTTGTGGGACTGCATGCTTCACAACCCAGAACGTAGCCCTGAGTCTGCATTAACTCCAGGTAGTTAGGTGTCAGAACTGCTGTATGTGAGTGAAAAACCCGTACACATTTGGTGTCAGAAGTGTTGCGAGTAGTAGTTTTCTTAGAGCTGCGATGTGCAGGAATACTTCGATTAAAATGCATTTTGTTCAGCAAAGATGTATTCTCTATACATAAGTTAGCTATTAGTATCAATAGCTATTTCTGCTTAGATTAAAATCTTCCCCACACCAAAATATTTCTATCTGGGGATGTATAAATTAAACATATTAAACTGAAGCAAAAAAGAAAGCGGGGGGGGGGAAGGGAGGGCCAGTGCATACAATTAAGTCAGCATCATTCTAAATCACTAATTCATTATTTAATTTTTTTCTAATCCCATGCAAATTTTTTCAGTTATCCAGGCTTAATTAAACTAATGTTTTATATATTTTTTATATAAAACTTTTATATATAGTTTTTATATATTGTTTTATTTTTTCTTTGAAAAAAAGTCTCTTACACTTTATTTTCTCTCATCCCTCTGTAGTACAATACATTATTTCATCCCTGAAAACCTCCCCCAAAACAAACACTGACCAAAGTCAGATCATACTTGGAATTTATGTGCATCCTTTTGGGAATCAAAGAACAGTTAGTTAATGGACGAACTCCTCTGAGATTTTACGGCTTAAAGACATGCTTGAAAAGATTTCACAGTAATCTTAAACTGCTGCTTAATAATATTCAAATCAAGTAAAGAGCAGCTAAGCTCTTTTTTTTTTTTTTAACTATATTCAGTATAAGAACTAAGATCTCAAAGATTAGGCAGTATTTATGCTTTACAAATACTAAAGCATATAAAAGACCTACCTTTATGAAACAAATCAGACAACCTAGAAGTGGATAGATTGGAATGACTATGGAAAAGGTATAATGAAGAACAGCCGTAACTGTGTATCCCATAAAGAATGTTATTTCGGTGATTGCAATGCAAGCCAATGCTGTCTAAAGAGAAAAAATGAGAAAACAAGTGAAAAAGTGTTTAGCAATTTTATACAAACCCACTTCTAAGTCTGTGCCTTGGTATTTACTATGTTTTCAATCCTCTAATGAAACACTGAACCAGAGGTGATACTTAGCCAGGAGGGGCCAGGCCCCGCTGTTTGCCCCCGGTATCCTTGCCATGTAATTCTTACATGCCTTCAGTACCACCCCTTAGTGGAATGGGTGATGCATTAGACACAGAGATGCTGTCAGCTAGCTAGTTCTGTACTCAGAAAAGACACAATAACATTTTGAACATAAGCCTGCAAGAGCTCATGACATACAAGTAAGCTACTATGAAAAGCTTGGGTGAAATAATACAAAACATGACTTACCACAGAATAGATAAATGACCAAAACTCTTTGGTATTCAAAATTTTTTTAAAAGTGAAGGAGATAACATAGGTAAACAGAATGACTGATGGAACATAACCAATAAGGCAAAAAACCTGTAAAACAGAAATGTGCACTTTTATGTAAAAGTATGAATAGCTAACAATACATATGACATAAAACACCAGTTGTATCAAAATATTAAGGAATGATTATTTTTCAAATTTTATGTCTCAAGCAATCACTCCAAAACTGAAATTGTAGTTACTTGAGAAATTACCATGCACAGTAAAACTCATACTTCTAACTACCTGTCAACACAATCCTGAATAAATAATCTACACTGAACACTATTTCAAGTTCTTTTTTATGCCAACCAAAATGCTATCTCTACCCATGTTATAAGAACAAGTATACTAGCTGTTTTACCCTTCTTAATCAACTATTAGCTACTATTTCAATATACAGCATTCAATACATTTGGCAAATATTTAAGAAAAAAATTATTAATTTATAAACCAGAAATTCATATGTAAAGTCAGTATTATCTCTGGCAAAATGATAAAATTACTTTCAGAAATCTCAACCTCACCTAGTTCTATTTTCCCTTTTCCCTAATACAAATTATTCACATGAAGGGTGATATACACATGAACATGAATGTAAGCCATACTCTTCCTTAGTATTTTCAGCAATATTTTAAATTATGGAATAAAAGAGCTTCTTTTGAAATTATTTTCAGGCATAGGGACAAGGAAGACATTTTAAGGAAGGACTGCTTAATTATTCCTGACTATACACAAGTATTGTAGTCTGCAGAAAGACCACCTCAGTCTCAAGGAATTATTTTATAATGATGGCTAGTTGCTGTTTTTTTTAAAAATCACTTATAGTAATATAAGTTGCATTATAAGTATCATATACAATGATTAAAATAGATACTGGCTCTACTTTCTATTAAAAAAATTAATATCCAAATTACTTGACAAACCACTTGTCATGTTTATAAATAGTTTTTTTAAATAACATTTCATTTATAAATAACATAAGTACAAGTAATATTAACTTACCACAGAAAGGAATTTTATAGCATAAAAATATAATCCATAATGAAACGCAAATAAACTTCCTAGCATCAAAATAAGAACAAGAAAAAATAAGGGGATATCAACAATAGCTTGTCCAATCCAATATGCAGATGGCAAAAGTCCTGAAAGTTTAAGCTGGGTATAAGCTTTGATCTACAAAACAAAAAAGAGGGAGGAAGGAAAACTGATTATAACTGTAAACATTTTACACACAAAAAATTAGCAAATTATTGTGGAACTCTTAATTTTACATTAACAAAACAAGACAGGTCACATTCCAGGTCTCTAGGTAATAAAAACCCTCCTACAATTAAATATAAATTCCATATAGTCTTTAATTTGGCTCAGTCGTGAGATGTAACAATTTTGACAAAATTTTTCAGAATCAGAATACAGTAGAGTTAAGAAACACAAAACTAAAATGAAGCAAAAGATGTCATGGGGATTACAGCTGTGCAAACAATAAGTAGCCAAAACAATGTCACTTTCACAACTCTGTGGAAGTAGATGAAAGATATGTTTAAACAGAAAAGACATTCTCATTTTTAAAAAATTAAGCTTTCATGAAAAACTATAAACTGCCAAGTGTCTTCGGGATTTACATAAGGTTTTCAGCTAAAGAGAGAAACTCTGTACTGATAATTCATTTTAGCCCTTCATATCCTCCTTTGTAGTACAAAAATGTAAGTTGTTATTACTATAAGTAATTAGCATTTTCATGTATACAAACAGTAAACTTAAATGATCTGAGTTTTCCTCTCTCATCTTCTCATAATTTGAAATTTCAAAAAATATTTTATAAATCCAAATACCTAACAATTTTACTCAGTTGATTTTTGGCATCTTTAAAAACATACTCCTAATAATTAAATATATTATATGAAGGAGCTAGCCATAGAGATAACAGATGTATGGAATATAAAGATTAGTTAAGAAGAGAAGTGATAAAAAAAAATGTACAACTTTTATGTTCAATGAATTATAAGAACAAAAATATAAACAATATAAGTATGAAAACATAAGCCAAGTCAAATAGAGTTATTCTGGCTCATCCACGCTTTTGTCATTCATACAATGCTGGTGGGAACGTAAAACAGAATATCCACCCTGGAAAACTGTTTGACAAACTTCTTACAAAACTAAACACGGAATCACCATATGACACAGCAATTGTACTCTTGGGCATTTATCACAGAGAAGTGAAAACTTACATTCACACAAAAACCTCTACACAAATGTTCACAGCAGCTTTATTCATAATAGTCAAAAACTGGAAACAATCCAGATCCACACCATGGACTACTATGCAACAATAAAAAACAATAGACTACTGATACATATAAACAAACTGAATGAATCTCCAGGGAATTATCCTAAGTGAAAAAAATCTAACCCCTCCCAAAAATACGTTATGATTCCATATATATACTCTTGAAATATCAAAATTATAGAAATAGAGAATAGATTAGTGGTTGCCAGAGGTCAGGGAGGGGGGGTGGGGGGGTGGACTTGAAAAGGGCAATAGAAGGAATCTCTGTGGTGAAGCCACTCTATCCTGACTGTATCAATGTCAATATCCTGGGATTTTACTATTATACCACAATTTTATAAGCTATTATTGAGGTGAAGTGAGTAGGATACAGAGGATTTCACTGTATTGTTTCTTAATACCTAATATGAATCTACAATTATCTCTAAATAAAAATTTGAATTAAAAGCATTTAAGTTGAAACAAAAGAGAAAAATGCAATTGTCTAGTAAGTTTTACTGTGAGTTGTGGGTGTTATGGGTATTTCTTAATTTTCTTATGCTTTCCTACATTTTTTTTGAAAATTTTATTTATTTATTTGAGAGAGAGCAAGTGCACGAGTGGGGGTGGGGAGGGGCAGAGGCAGAGGGAGAAGCAGACTCCCTGCTCAGCAGGGAGTGCTACCCGGGGCTTGATTCCAGGACCCTGAGATCATAACCTGAGCTGAAGGCAGATGCTTAACTGACTAAGCCACCCAGGCGCCCCTTTCTTACATTTTCTAAATTAGAACAATGAATATATATATTTATAACAGAAAAAATGAATATATTTTTAAAATACCTCCTGAGACTCATGTATCACTTTCCACTAGAGAAAATTATTAAAATATATAATTGTCTGCTCTGAGACTTCATGATTTGTCACATAGGTAAATTAATTTAGACTATCTGCTTACACTGAACTAAGAAGACATACAGAGAATGAGAATTTTGATTAGAGGAGTAAGAGAGGGACAACGTCGGCAGGGTAGGAGAGTGGAAGGCTTTGAATAGTCAAGAGACCTTGCAAGAGCATCATGTGCCTGAGGACAGAAGAGAAAGGAGCAGAAAAGAAAGTGAAGGATACTGAACAACTCTGTACACACAGCTATTTGTCCTGGGCTCTGATGGTCACAATCATTATCTACCTGCCTTTTCATTTCGCAAAAATTAAGTATCTTGTACATTCAACACATTCCATTAAGGGTTAAGGGAGAGAGAAAGGTTAGTGTACCTATTAAGAACATAAGGATCCACTACTTAAACAGGATGAGACAACATCGGCACATGATATGACCACTCCCATCCCCACTTCCTGACCTATAAATAAAGTCGGTAACATAAAACTTACATCACAGTGTTGTAAAGATTAAAGGATGTAACTTTTGAAGCATGTGACAGGGACTCAAGTAATAAATGATAGTTATTGTTATTACTATATTAAATATGTTTATTCTCTATTTACTTACTCCTAAAATATGTCTTGCACTCATGCAAAGCAGGTAATTGTTTTGTATAAACTTTACCTGTAATTTTAACTCAATCATTACCTTATGATTCTCTGCATTTTCCATGGCAAAGTAAGGCGGCATTGCAGTAACAATGATTCCCAGAAGAGCTGCTTGAAAATACAGCTCAATTTTAAAAACTATATCTGTAATTTCCTGAAAGAAATCACAGAGTAAGAAATGAAACTGAGAATCACTTTATATCATCTTAGTACTTTCTCAATAAAAGACTATCAAAACCTCTGAAGAAACACATTAGGATATCTATTCTAGGCATACAGTCTGTATGAAAAAACAGATGGCAGAGTTAACAGGCAGTGAGTTACAGGACCAGCTCTGCCACTTAATAAGTAGCTAAACAATCCTGAGCAGATCATCATATTTCCTTTTCTTATCTACAACATAGAATAATAGGACATTTAAATTAAGCTTTACCATTTAATTAAAAATAATAATGTACATGAAAAAGCAGGTAACATGTCCACCAGTAGTCCTATGCAATGAACAGGACCATGTCAGATTGATACATTCATTGGTTGCTGGGACTGTGAGCCATTTGGATCTCGGGGCCCTATTCCCTTTTGAAAAAGCTGTACTTTGGAACAAGCTCAGCCTCCTATGGGAACAGGAGTTTCTTCTCCTTGGCAGGGGGGCGCTATAACTCCCACAGACCTCAACGGTCCCTAGCTGCCCCAAAGACTCAAGTACAGAAGGAAACTTCCAGAAAACTAAAGTAAACAGCTGGTGCCCCAAATACAAACTACCCAGAACCAAGTGCATTGTATTACCGCTGCCCTCAACAGGTGCAAGGGTCTTCTGGAAGGTGGGAGAGATAATGAAATCTAGAACTGATATAGTGATGGATGCAGAACTCTATGAACATAATAAAAACCATTCGATTGAAACGAGTTAATAGCGTATGAAGTAGATCTCAAAAAAACTGTTAAAAAAAAGTACAGCAATAGAAAGTAAAAAATGCTATTACAGAAAAATATTTGTCCATTTATTTTTCATATGTGAAAAATAAAACATAAGGGTGAGAGAAAAATGTTGATAATTTTTCTGAAGACTTATTTTCACATTTATAATCCAATAGTCCTATCTAGAGGAAGAATGACTGTATGAGCAACTTCTCAAGTTTCTTTCAATACCCCAGTAAGAGATCTTATATAAATAATATTTTTAAATTATCTTAATTTTTCTTGTATGATTAATACAAAAAATACTTATGCTTTATAAAAATATCAGTACCAAGAGAGAACTTCCTTGATCCTGAAGCAAACTAATACTGGGCACTCCTAAACTCAGATGTAAAGCATCCTCAACTCAAGTTTTAGTAAGACTAAAAACATCTACAGATTTCCTTTGTATTAGGTCTTAGCTTTTATTATACACATGTGTACATACACACTTTTTTCTTTTTTTTACACACATACTTTTTAAAGTTTGCTTACTTGAAAGAATGGGGTATTCCAGACCTGGATGCTTTCAGTCACATTTAAATGATAAAGATAATAATTACTGATAATATTCATCAATACAGGTAAAGAACAAACCATAGTACTGTTGAAAACAGCTGTAAAAACATAGTCCTATGATTTAAAAAAAAAAAAAAAAGAGAGAGAGAGAGTGTTATTACATACCATATATAAATACATTGCTACTATGTACTAAGCTTTTCTCCCAGACTAAGGGAATCTTCACTAACTAAAAATTGATTGAACAAATTATAGAAATAATATTCAATAGATAAAGACAGATGGAGAAACATAACCTGGTGTGGAGTCTATAAATATTTTGGTATTTTAAGCAAAAATAGAACACAAAGATTAAATTAAATTTCTTACAGTTTTTTATTTTGGTCATCCACCAAGTCATAAAATACATTATAAACGCTAGAAAAGTCCAAAAGCAAATTCTAATTTCCAACTAATGAGGTCAATTCAGCAAACGATTAACTTTAGAGAAAATATCTTAATGTTCTATTAACTTTCCAATAGGTATTCACTCACATTTGTTACTCTTACCTTTTCAGAATACATCACATTTAAAGCTGCACTATGGGGAGCAGCAGACACATAGTCACTGTCATTAAACATTGTCACCATTATGTTCTGGCTTGTGAAAAAGCTCGTAAGGTCACTGATATCAGAGTCTGGTATGAGAAAATAAGCAAATAATAAAGAATCAGTTTAAATAAGAAACAGACCCAGACTTTTAATAACATTGGGAAGAACTTTGTTTAAAAAAGATTATCTTTGTTAGACAAGACATCAGTGAGAACACTGGCAGTGGAGGCAGTCAGCCTGGATTCAAATCCAAGTCAATACATACAGGCTTTAAAAACAGAACCTGGCACAGTAATTGTACAAATGCTGGCTCCTGCTGCTGCTACGATTGTTACACTGAAAGTTTACCTATAATACTCACAGGAAATTTAACTAAATTGTGAGAATAAAAAATCTGACAACTTTATGGAATAAGAGAACCTGCTAGGCTCGGAAAGGTAGAAACAGGCAGGATGTGAAGTCAGGTAACATCACTCCTTAGAGGGTTTCTGTGTGCTTGGAACAGACAAATTTTATCAATGTCAATTGCCTCAACTGCCTTAAAATATTAAACCACATAATCAGGTCTCCATCTACATTCCTTAAATTGCCTGGAGCCAATAGAAAGATGATGGATCCTGTCTTAGGTTTAAGTCTATACCAATAAGTCTGATGAATGGAAACTGCTCCCCTTCCATCTTCACAAAAGCCAGAAAGAACAAATGTGACTTTGAGAGAAATCAAAACCAAGCAAAGGAAACCACTATCCGTAATTAAAAATAGTATGGCAGGTAGACCAGACTCCGTAGCAAACCTGAGTGTCAGAGGGAATGGTGCTTTTAGGGCTCTCGCTGGAGCTTTTTAGATCCTACATTTACTCCTTATCTAGTACCTCAAATGACCTCTTTTCTCTAGTTTGCCACAGAAGAGAGCTACATTGTAACTGAAGGAACTATATCACCCTTGATACAAAAAGCTTTCCAAGGAGGATCAGATACAATCCAATATAGACATACAGAGGCCAGTAATTTCCAAAGGAAACACGGCTTTATTTAGGACCAAAAAGGCCTAGGAAGATATAGGGTACATAAGTAAGCAATTCTAGAAATACTAAAAAATAACAAAAGGGACAAAACTTTGAAAATATTAGTATTTCTGCAGATCAGTGAGAGTGAACTCAAACCAAAATGATTTCAGATACATATACAATTTCCCAAACACACAAAAAATGCCCCTATAAAAGTATAAAGCTTTATGTAGCACTGTATTTTAACAACATGAAAAGTGTATTAAAATCAAAACAAAAATTCTAATCAAAGAAATACATTATAAAGCATCAATTTTCTATTCAAGAGTAGTTTTCTATCATGAAATATATTCTTTCTCCAAAAGAATAAAGATTATATAATAAACTAAGAGTCACATTTTAAAAGTGAATGATTTTAAGAGTAATTTATAATCATCCCTAACTATGATTATTATCTAACACTGGTCAAAACTCTTCAGTTAATAGTGAATCATAAAGGAAAGATACTAGAATATGTGTAAGTGTTGGAAAATACTAAACTCTGAAGATTTTGTGAGTTATATAAATGATTATATTAAATGCAATTTTCTAACCTATTTCAGCAAGACAAGCAAATAAAATTGCCTCTGTTCTTCTGTAAATCTGCCAGAGTTAGCTAACTTTGATTTACTCTTCAAGAACCTTAGGACTATATCTATGCAGATGAGAGATTTTGTAGGAACAACTATTCAAAATTCTGTATTAGGTTTTATTATTTTTGAAAAGCAGAAACCGATGTCAGTTTTTTTTTTTTTTTTACTTGTTCTGAGCCTTGCTCAAGACCATGGTTCTTAATTTTTTTTCATATTTGACAACTACATAATTAAAATAAGCAACAGCAAAATCAAAAATATTCATTACCAATTTAATATATTTGATTATATTAATATCTGAGTTTTTCTTAATTCTTATTTTTTACAGTCCTTGAAAAATTATTTAAACATTTCTACTGAGATATATAACTGCATAAATATTATATACTGTAACTCTTTCTAAAGGTGTTTCAACTTCCGAAGTTTATTTTGCTTATAATAAACTTTAATATGAAACACACAACTCAGAATATGTTGCTACCATTAAAAAAACGGAATCTTAACATCATAAACAGTACAATACTTTTAAAAATTATAATCTACACTTAACCAAAATTTCATTTCTGTAATATTACTCAGCATCAGTAAATAGTTTTTTAAAACTTAAATTTGTATACACAAACCATGACTTTACCTTGGATCTATTTCTTAAATCCCAACCTCTAACCTATATCCCAGACCCCATGCCCCAACCAACACACATTCACAGACCTTCACACACTCTCACCAGTAGAATTTTGAAGAAGCAGACTTGTTTTGTATTTATGAGGTTTATCTCCAGTTTTTAGGAAATATAAGTCTGGAACAAGTTTGATGGGAACCACAGCATTTTTAAAAGAGCGGTGCACCAAAAACATAAAAATCTGAACTGCAAAAAAAAATTAAAAGCAGAAGCAACCTGAAAGGAAAAAAATAAAACAGCACAGGGTACATTAGTACGTAAATCTATTTTTAAAAATCCTCCTTCAAATAACAGTTAAAAGTATACATGTTAAAAAAGAGAGAGAGAGAGACAGAGAGAGTGAGAAAAGAAAAACCTGAAAAAAATAGTGTTCGGGAATAGAATTTCTATTCTCCAAAATGATCTCATGACACAACTGGACAGAAAGCCAGTACTCAATGACAAAATTAAAACTTATGAAACTAAGATCAAGTCATCCTGAAACTTTTATGGGTATATAAACTTGTACTTATGGCTTTTTAAGAACCAGACATTATGCCACATTTACACATCCACTGTCCTGAGGGAACTTTTATTTTCTGCCCTATGTCTTAACTACTTACTCTCCTATAGAAAAGATATACTACAAAAATATATAAGATACAGAGAAGGAAACAAAAATACAGGGAGCCTTTCTTTTGTTTTTAAATATAGTGAAACTTTGAATGATATCTTTGAAATGTCATCCATACCATACTAATTTCCATTGTTCCTCTAGAGAGAGGCAAAGCAAAACATACTATGGTCAGTTATAAGGATCATTATTTGTTATTTGTCAAGTACATAATTCGATTACCTATTCAAAATGCCCTTCTGTCTTGTCCTACAAAATATTTGCTACATTTTATATAACAGGTATCATAGCAAGTGGGCAGAGAGAGCTTAGATTATCAGTTTAGCATTTTATAATTTTCAGAAACCCTCTAATTTTTAAAAAATAATTCTTATAAATTGCTGTAAGTATACCTGAATCAGCATTTCCAAAAGCATACTGCATTAAATCCTATCAGTTAATAGGTGTTTTACGTTAAAAAATTCATGATTAAACAGTATTTGGAAACTCTGGATTTAACAAAATTGAAGCAATTTCTTTACCATAGAACCTCTCATGTGTTTTCATATGCTAATAAACAAATCTTTAAGACAGGAAATACAGGATACAGTATTTCCTAAATGCACAGATGGTCAAATGCATATTTGGAATATTTTTTTTGTTAGGAATTAAATATTTGTGTCATCCTCCCCCCAAATTCATACTCTGAAGCCCTAATCCCCAGTGTGATAGTATTAGGAATAAGGCTCTTGGGAGGTAATCAGGATTCGATGAGGTCATGGGCATTGGGCCCTTAAGATAGGAATAGTGCCCTTCTAAGAGACATCAGAAAGCTTGCTCTCTGTCTCCTGTGCATCAACAAAGAAAGGCATATGAGCACACAGCAAGATAATGGCCCATCTCTGCAAGCCAGAAAGAGTGCTCTTAGGACCAATTCTGTACCCTAATCTGATTTCCACTCTCTAAAACCATGATAAAATAAATTTCGTTGTTCAAGCAACCGAGTCTATGTTATTTTGTTATCACAGTCTGAACTAAGACTTTTATTGTTTTTCAGGGAATATTTTAGGAGAGTAATGTTCAATAAACTGAAACATGCTGATTTAAGTAAATATTTTTCTTTTAGTAATGCTGAGACTGGAATATATAAGACAGTTGACTGACATTTCTTTGATACTGACTAACCTAGGGCAAAAAAAATGATTTCAGCATATCTCAAGCACATAACAATATTCTCGCTTATTAAATTTTTTTCTACTGCTGTTTTGGATCAAACAAGATCGGAGTGTGTTATGAAAATAATTAATGTTATGTCCCAAAAAATGAAAGTCTAGCACCCATGGAACCTGAAAGAGGTAAAGCAAAGTTGAAAAGATATCATTTTGATCCCAGTTCTACAAGCTATAAAGCCTTCTTTATATTTCCATTTCTTTAACCAATACACAGAGATAAAACTTACTCTTCCTGCTGTTTACAAAAGCGGTTATACATAATAGTAATACATACAAAACAATTGCGTAAAATATAATCGCAAAATAAAATTTAGTGGCAATAATTCAAAAATTACACAATTAAAGAATATTATGACAGTCCCTCATTTAGATGAGACAAAAAATGCTAGTTTAAAAAAAGAGTGAAAGCTCTAGTGGTATTCAAAGAAATCCCTAAATGCGTAATTCTTTTCTCTGACATTGTGAAGTTATAGTCTTAATCTTACAAAACTACATAGATTTACATACGTCTACATTTTAAAAAATTAAGATGACAAATTGAATTTGTAGCCTTAAAAAACAACTCATCAGTCAGGAAAATGATCATACTTACACTGATCTTACTGATTTACTTTCCCTTTTCAAGGTAAGCAAATGAAACTTTGCTATTGTATACACCTGTTGTTTCCAAAGGCTCATGGTGCTCACAAGAGAAGCCTTGGTTTCAGAAAGAATAAGTAAGCTCTGCTCCATTTCATCAAAAGATTTTGAATCCATTTCTTCCTCTGGTGGCTGCTGAGTAAATATACTATAATCTATTTGCCAAAACAAAATAAAGACAGAAAATTATGGGATATTCCTTAAAAGAATGAAAATCTTCCCGAGGCATATAAATTTTAAAGAAGCACACATCTGGTAGTGAGGTAGGACAAACAGAACTCTCATATACTTTGGCAATATTCTTAAAACTGAACACATGCATACCTTATGACCCAGAAAATTCTCCACTAAGTATAAATGAAAGGAAGATACATACATAGGTCCACCAAAACACATATACAAGAAAATTCTTAGCTAGTGACCTGTCAAGAATAGCCATTAACTGGGGCGCCTGGGTGGCTCGGTGGGTTAAAGCCTCTGCCGTCGGCTCAGGTCATGATCCCAGGGTCCTGGGATCGAGCCCCACATTGGGCTCTCTGCTCAGCAGGGAGCCTGCTTTCTCTCTCTCTCTGCCTGCCTCTCTGCCTACTTGTGATCTCTGTCTGTCAGATAAAGAAATAAAATCTTTAAAAAAAAAAAAAGAATAGCCATTAACTAGGAAGAATCCAAATGCCTACCAACAGGTGAACACATAAGTAGTGAAATAATCCTGTAAGAGAATAGTTTAAAACAATGAAACTGAATAAAGTACTATACAACCACAGTAAGTTTAAACCCTACAAACATATATTAGGTAAAGGAAACGAGACATAAAAGACATAGTATATGATTTTTTAAAAGATTTTATTTATTTATTTGACAGAGAGAGGTTGAGAGAGAGCAAGAGTGGGGAGGAGGGGGAGAGGGAGAATATATATGCTGAACTTGGAGCCCAAGCCCAAGCGGGGTTCCATCCCAGGACCCTGGGATCATAACCTGACCTGAAGGCAGATGTGTAACCGACTAAGCCATCCAGGTGCCCCCATGCTATATGATTTATTCCATGAGACCAAACACAGATAAAATTAATCAATGAGAATAGGAAAAAGGACAGGTTATTTTTATAGGTGATTCGATTTTTAAAAAATGAAAAATAATGAAGAGATGAAAATTGGTTTCAGTATGAGGAGAGCCACAAAGAAGGACTTCTCTGACTTATGTTAAATTTAAAAAATTGAGTAAACACTAAAAATTTAAGAGTGGAATAGAATAATGCATAAAATAATAATGAACCACAGCCTGGTTATCCTGGGACCTTAGCAACTCAACTGTTTAGATGAATGACTTATTTCGTAAGATGAACCAATCTAAACCCTCTCTTCCCCTGATACAATGGACTAAACCAAACTAAATATTAGGGCTAAAATATTGTATATCACAATCACGGTATTCAGTGAGCACCAATCTACCTTCTACGGAATTTGATATTTTTAACCTTTGAAAAATAAATCATTTAAAATCAGCCAATGAAAGCAAGCGATGTTAGAGGTATATTTATTCTGCATGGTGGACTTAAAGATATACAAAATAAAGCCAGTAATACCTACACTGCACATAGCCTTCTCATCTTTATCCCACCATCCAACTCTACAGACTACTCATTAAATACCTCAAAGTTTTAGCATCACAGATATAAGCATCTTCTCCATCTAATTCTCTTTCATCACCTGAAGTACTATAAACATACTCACTGATAATGTGTCCTACATTCTAACCCCTAATTTCCTCTATTTCTCCCATTTCCTCACCTTTATTTACTCAATTTCATCAAACTGAACACATGTCCAAATCTGACATCTTGTTCTCTCTCCAATTATGTAAGATCTAAAACTTTTAGTTGAACTTTCTCTGACTACAGTCTGATATCACAACCTTATTAGAAGCCTGACTTTTGTCCTTTCTCCATGTTCGAGAGAAACCTCCTATTTCCTTCACCCTCCTGCCCCACTACCACCACCACCACCTCGCTAACTTTCAATCGTAAGAAAAGTATCCTCAATTCGAATTCTCACCTTAAACCTCACAGAACTAACTCTAACCTTTACCACACCACTGAAATGGCTACTGTCAAGGACACCACTGACTTCCATACTACCAAAGCCCTTACCGTCTTCCCTGTTACCAAAACCATCTTTTTTGTTCTTATCTTATTCTTCCCAGCAATCAGCAAACAAGTAATCATCACTTCCTCTTTCCTAAAATGTTGTTTTCTCTGGGTTTTTACATCTCCTTTTGCAAAGACAGAAAATGCAATGATGGGTACTTCTTTCTGGCCCCTCATTACTCAAACTCAGGGCTTGCCTGTCCACTCTTTATCTGTACTGTTTCCCTGAGTGATTTCATCCAAACCCATGGCACCATCTATCTGTGAGTAATTTCAGAACTTAAATCGTCAACCCTAACATCTTCACTCAGCTCCAAATGTGTTAATCCAACTGCCCACACTGTACACCTCCACTTAGAGGTCCAACAAGCATCTCAAACAATATACCTAAAATTTGTGCCGGGATTCCTCCTTTCCACAAACTTGTTTCTCCCCCACTCTTAGAAAATGCCATTCCCAGTTCTCAAGCAAAAAGCTTAGGAATTTTTTTTTTTAAAGATTTTATTTATTTATTTTTGACAGAAAGAGAGAGAAAGAGATAGCTAGAGAGGGAACACAAGCAGGGGGAGTGGGAGAGAAGCAGGCTTCCCACTCAGCAGGGAGCCCAATGCAGGCTCAATCCCAGGACCCTAGGATCATGAACTGAGCCGAAGGCAGACACTTAATGACTGAGCCACCCAGGCACCCCCTTAGGAATTATTCTTGAGTCCTCCCTTTCCCCAACAACTGACAATCCACCAGCAAGTCATCCCCAGTACCAGGGATATAACCCTATTCTGTTTCCCTATTTTCACAACCACCCTAGCTCAAGCCAAGATTAAGTGTAATAGTTTCCTAATGGTCCTCCTGCTTCCACTTCTTTTACAATCTTCTCATCATTTAACAATCAGAATGCATTTTTAATTTATTATTAGTTAATTAATTTTTTTAAGGAGGGGGGAGAGGCAAAGGAAAAGGGAGAAAGAGAATCTTAAGCAGCCTCTACATCCAGTGCAGAGCCAGACAAGGGGCTCAGTCTCATGACCCTGAGATCATGACCTGAGCTGCAATAAGAGGCAGACGTTTAACAATCTGAGCCACTCAGGCGCCCCAGAATGCATTTTTTAAACATGCAAATCAGATCATGTTACTCTTTTGCTTAGATCTCTCAATAGCTTCACACTGCACTAAGAAAACAAACCAAATTCTTTTCCAGATATTCAAAGACTAGACATGATCTGGCCCCTGGCCCTCCCCTCTAATCTCTCTTTGGCTCTTTAAACTCAATCCACAGTGGTCTGTTCTCTGTCATCAAACACATCCAACTCATTCCTTAATTGACAGTTTGCAGGAGCACCCGGGTGGTTCAGTTAGTTAAGCATCTGCCTTTGGCTCAGATCATGATCCCGGGGTGCCGGGATCAGGGCTCACATCGGGCTTCTTACTCAGTGGGGAGCCTGCTTCTCCCTTCCCCTCTGCCTGCTGCTCCCCCTTGTGCACACTCTCTCTCTCTGTCAAATAAATAAATAAAATCTTTAAAAAAAAAAAAAAGTTTGCAGTAGCACTTCCCTTTATCTGAAAAAGCTTTGAAACAAAATCCTCCCATATTTAGATTTTTCTTGCCATCCAAGTCTTCGTTTATCATCTCAACACAGTCCTCCCTAAAGATGCAATCTAAGATATCTGCCTCCCAAGAGCGCCCCATTGTTTCCTTCGTAACTCCTACTGCTGTCAGTAAATATCTCAACTACTTATTTACCTGTTTCCATCTACTGTTTCTTCCTCTAAAAACATATTTCACATGTTTATGTAATTATTCATCTCGCTTACCATCTCTCTGGTTAATTGCCCAAGATTTCTTGTTAGTTTCGTTTTTACCTGCTTGGTCAATTTCTGCTTCAACTTCCAGCTTTAAGAACACATCTTCCAAAGTCGTCATTGAAACACCGTAAGAAATTACACCCAAATTTGAATGAGTGTCTAGAGCAGAAAATAAACCTAAAAGAAAAAAAAATGAAAGAATGTTGTGTTGTTAAGCATATCATCATGAATTTCTCTAAAATACTCTTTTAAAATGGGATAGGACTAAATTTACTCTGCTACCACACTAGTTCTCAAACATTTTGGTCTCAGAACCCCATTAACATTCCTAAAAATTGCTAAGGACCCTAAGGAATGTTTGCTTATAGAGATATATCTAATAGATATTTATCATATTATAAATTAAACCTAAGAAGTATTTTTACAGACAGAATGATAGGCAGGGTACATTAAAGTTGGCTTATGTAGTTCACTCTAGTTAATGAAGGATTCTTTTTTTCCCCTAGGAAAAAAATCAATTAAATTAAATAGAAAATCTCTATCTAAATGAGATAAGTGTTATGGGAATTCCACATAACATATCTGCATCAATAATATCCTTTCGGTTATTGAGAGATTCCCTGAATAGATAAGGAGACTAAGTATGAGTTCCTCGTTACAAAGCAGAAAAATAATGCCAGAATTAAAATAATTCAAGGGTTTACCATATTATTATGTCCTTCATTATGGAATCATGAAACGAGAAAAGAACTTGAGAACATATACAAACAACTGTGTGTGTGTGTGTGTGTGTGTGTGTGTGTGTGTATACATATTCCCAGAAGGCTTCTGAGCAAATGGAGCAATCTTTCTTGACAACAAAGCAAATACCTTTACTTAACATATTAGTTTCCTGCATAGGGTTTGTAAAAAATGGGGGGTGGGGAACACATTAGCTTGTAGTTTCTGATTTTCAAAAGTAAAGTAAAGTAGAAATGTAAGAGTAAAGTAAAGCCACCTGGGAACATGTAAATATTACACAAAAATATACAACAAAGTAAATCAAGAAAACCTATTCCTAAAGCAAGAGCCTGGTTCAACAATCAGGAAACTGAAAGTAATACCTGCAAATTTGTCCATGTCCTTAAAAGGCAAACTATATACAAGTTGTTGGTCATTCTGTTGTAATAAGGTAGCTCCAGGTATATGTTGCTTAACCAGGGAAGAAAGAGATTCAGTGGCACAGTATCGGTCTATGTACATGCTAGAGAAAACCAAAAGTCATTGTTTTTTAAATAATTAATGAACAACCAAAAGTAAATTCTAAATGCTGGAAGTAAAGTTAGTGCCATAAAAATTGGCCAAAGTACATTATAGCAAATCTGAAATATAGTATCAGTAGATCAAGAATACTATAAAGAATAAAGTCAATCAAGAATGAATGATACCTTAGGCGGTAGCCAATCCCCCATTTACTTTTGAGAAAAATTGAAGAACCAACACATTTCAACATTCCTTGTGATATGACAGCTTTCCTATCTGTAAACAGAAATTTACATTTCAATTTTTAGGTTAGTAACAGCATCCGCATTTCAAAGTTTTTAAGTCAGTTGGCATTTGTATTTTGTGAACTACCATGTAAGACACCAATATCATCATTAAATACTCACAACTTTATTAGAAAGAAACCAGATTATCACTTCCTGGTTTTTAAATGAGAACACTGAGGCAATAAGAAAACATCATTTGGCCACATTTCACATAGCTATTAAGTGATAAACCCAGACATTGTACCCACACAGGTCCAACTCTGGAGTCTACTTCCTTAATACTGTTCCAAATATCTCAGACTCTTCCTAAAAGGCTCACTATTACAAGCATGTTCACAATTTCCTTTATAATCAAATGTAAAAACAACCAAAAAAAAAAGTCAGTCTGTTGGGTTTCCAAAATACATAAAAATAAAAAACAAAAAAAACAAAGATACTACTGAAAAAATGAATCTACTATGTAGATTGTACTGAACATTTGCTTCCTTCTGGAAGGTGGAGTTTTCATACATGGTAGTCAGGAGGTGCCTCTATGACCAGCACCTTGGGCACAGAGTCTCTAATGAGCTTTCCTGGTAGACAACATTTCACATATGTTGTTAACAACTCCTTGCTAGAGAAATTAAGCATATTCCGTGTGACTCTATTGGGAGCAGATTTTTGGAAGCTTGTGTCTGGTTTCCTCCATGTCCCATAAGCCTTTTTCATTTTGCTGATTTTGCTTTGCATCCTTTCAGTCTTGTGGTAAGAACCTGTAAGTACAACTAAATGCCGAGTCCTATTACTTCTCCTAGCAAATTGCTGAATCTGAGATGGTCTGTAGGACTCCCAAACACAAAAATAGGTGATTTTTAAAAAGTTTAAAACACACAGCTGTGAAAATCACAGTTTCTTTATTCCTCAGGATTTAGTATGTCTATGTCCATCTCTTATTTGGCCCCATGACCTTATCTTTCAAAAATAAAGTTAAAATCTCACCAGCAAGAATATCAGCTTCATCCATGAAATGAGTACTAAATACTGTTACCCGATTAGATTTTCCATATTTCAGAAGATTCCAAACAATATGGCGAGAACAGGGGTCCATTCCAGCTGTTGGTTCATCCAGCAATAATATCTACATGAAAAAGAGCAGGGAATGGCAGAGAATCCTCAAAAAATATAAAATACATAAAATTTCTGGACACTGGGAAACTTTCCCATTTCTAATTATTATTTCTAACAAGAAGTATACTAAATCTGGGCTTTTTATTCTTATATGAGCTAACATAAATTTTTTAAACTGTTTGGCAAGTGAATATTTTCCTTGCTTCAATTTTAAAAGACTAATACCAGCAACACATAAGACATAAATGCAATAATAATCAGATACATAAACTAAAAAATAAAACACTGATGGGGGTTGAGAGAAAGATAAATTAACATAAAGCCAGGGGCATCTGGGTGGCTCAGTCATTAAGTGTCTGCCTTCGGCTCAGGTCATGATCCCAGGGTCCTGGGATGGAGCCCCCACATCGGGCTCCGTGGGGAGCCTACTTCTCCCTCTCCCACCTCCCTGCTTGTATTCCCTCTTTCGCTGTCTCTCTCTGTCAAAAATAAATAAATAAAATCTTTAAAAGCAAAACAAAAAAACATAAAGCCAGAACCCAGAGTCATCCCAAGCTATAGCAGCAAGGAGAAATGTAGCAGGATGGCAGGCACCAAGAGGGCTCAGGCTGCAGCTTCCCAGCCCAATGCAAAGCACTGTAACAGATGGTTCTGTTTACACAGGACAGAGAAGAGCACAGAACAGGCACATACAAAATAAAATCAGCAGAACAGTGAAAAACTGAACTATCATTTGGTTTTGTCTGTTTTTAAATTTTATTCTGAACTATTACAAACATATAGAAAACTAAAGAGAGAATTAGAACAATACCGTTAAAGCCACCAGTGAAATGCAACAAATGTCATTTTTTTAGGCCATATTTTCTGCAGATCTCTTTTTAAAGAAATAAAACATTGCAAATATAACTAAAATCCATCCTTCCATTACCCTTTCTAGAAGGAACCACTATCATAATTATGTTTTATCTTTGTAAGTCACATTTCAAACCTTATTACTATAAATCACACCCATAATAACGTATAGCATTTTATGTATACTGAAACTTTACATAATGTATTATTGTACATAAATACATATTATATTTGTGTATAATACATTAATATTTATTTACCTTTGGATTCCCAAGAACAGCAATTCCTAAAGACAGTTTTCTTTTTTGACCACCACTTAACTTTTTAGCTTGATTATCTTTGATAGCCTGCATGTCTAAATCCAGTAAAACCTTCTGCACCTATAAAGTGAGAACAATGTTATTTTTTAAATTATATAATTTACATAATTATTAATATTAATTTTTAAGTGTCCTGATTTTAATATCAACTTAAAAATGTTCTTTTAGTACATACTTTAATTTTGACATGTACTCATATATAATTTTGAAATAATAGATAAAAAGATTCCTGATTGATAGGTCTGTTTTACTTTTGTGACTTCCTACGTAGTGGTGAAGGGATCAGTTGGAAAGCTCTATATGGTGGTGGGTGGGCAGGGGGATGGTGGTGGAGGAAAGGAGGCAGATGTGAAAGGCAAGGAAAGTTTGGAAGAAAAAAAAAAAACCTAAATTGAGAAGCTAGAATCCTCCAGATGAAACAAGGACAATTTTATATGTGCTAAAATATTTACTCCAAATTCCATCCAATTCTTTATAATAAATTTCTGTTTATTGGCTCAGAACAGGTTTTTATTTAGATTTTCATGCATTTTTTACAACAGTTATTACAAAAAATTAGTAATTCATAAGGAACAAAGAAATATTTCTATATGAATGACATACCTCTTGTATTACATTATTGGCTGGTATTCCTTTGATTGAAGCCAAAATGGATAAGTTTTCTTCTACTGTCAAAACATCAAAATGTATATCTAACTGTGGACAAATGCCAATCATTTTTCTTGCTTCGAACATCTCATCTATTTCTGAGACTCTGTGTCCATATATAGATGCAAATCCTAAAAGCAAGATATATATTTAAATTTATACTAACTATATTAAGTATTAAAAAGTATATATGCCTTAATATACACTAATAATTTAGTTACTTGTAAGTAGTAAATATATAAGGTATGAGCTACAACAAACCCTCATTTCCATAAGATTGGTGATCTGCTTCCACCTTATTTCCAACCTCATCTTCCTTCATTTTCAGGTGATATCACATAGTGAAAAGAACAAGGAATCAGAGCTTAACACTAAACATAATTGTGTACTGGTACACTATTTACACTTATATTCCAGTAGCAATTTGCCTTCATTTCCAGGCATTATTCAATAGTGGAAAGAGGAAAGAAACTAAGAAGTTTCCCCTAACAAGTGTGTGGTCCTGAGAAAATCAATCTGAATTCCAGCTTTTCTCTTCTATAATCTAACTACCAATATATCCTACTTAAATTTAAGAACTATTAAACCAATATGATAATATATGGAGAATTATAACAAAATCATAAATTCCTATTAAATGTAAGCTATTACTACCATCACTAAAAAGTGACACAATTAGGGATAAGCAACAAAACAAAACTAATTACAGAAGTTAAACTACATTTTAAGAAATGCAGTTTCAATACACGGAAATTCAGCCTTTCTTAAAGTACAGTATTTACTGTACTGCCACTCTATTAGGTTACTGTGGAAATACAGAGTTGCCATATTAAATTCTCACCTATGGGGCAATCACATACAACAATTATCTGTTACAGTATTGCTCTTATAATTCTATTTTAAGAGATGGTGTTGATATTTATCATTCTTTCCTTTTGAACTGTTGCTGCATATTTAGAAATCTATACCTACAATCTAAAATATCTATAGGTCTCATTTAATTTCCAATTAATCAGTGACTTATCCTTCTTTGAAAATGAAAAATACACACAAATATCTGATAAAATAGGTAACAAAATCAGATCCGTTTACTTTATTAAACATTTAAATCATTGTTATTTTCTACTGAAAAATGTGTAAAATAAAAAAATAATAAAACACATTTACAGACACTAAGGTTGGTCTCAATTCATTGAAAAAAATCAGCACATGTTTAGATAAATCAAGGATAAATAATAAATGACATATATTTATATAAGTCAAGGATAAATAATTATTTTGTGGTACCTTGGTTAATAACACTAATAAACCGAAGCAAGAGATTTTTTAAGTCGGAAAACTCTCACCATCAGAAGGCGGGCATAGTCCACAAAGAATATTCATCAATGTACTCTTTCCTGTTCCACTGTGGCCAAGTAATGCAGTAATCTGACCCTCATATATGTCAAATGACAAATCTAATTCAGAAAACAAGAAGACTCAAATGTGATTTTTATTTCTACTGAGCTACACAAAATAATACAAAATACTTGAATAATCTTGAAGTAATCAGTAAGTTTAGTGATAGATTTAAAGTTATTAGCATATTTAACAACATAATACTTGAATACACAAAACATTGGGGAGGGTTTCTACAAACCCACTCTTGAGACTTTCTAAGATAATTAAATAAGGGACAAACAAAAATTTGTTCCCAAGGGTATTAACAAGGTTAAACATTGCAAAAACCTAGAAACTAACCAACAGAATGGGAATAGCTGAGTAAGTGCTTGAGAAATTCAATTTAAATAAAAGAAACATGGGGAACCCGGGTGGTTCGGTTGGTTGGGCATCTGACTCTTGATTTTGGCTCAGGTCATGATCTCAGGGTTGTAAGACAGAGCCCCACATCCCGCTCTATACTCAGTGGGGAGCCTGCTTGAGATTTTCTCTCTCTCCCTCTGCCCCTCACCCACTTCTCACTCTCTCCTCTAAAGAAATGAAATAAATAAAATGAAGAAATATCACTAGATGGATGTGTCAAAGATTAAAGGATAAAAGAAAAGGATCTGAAATCCCAGCTTTAAATCACTGTAGATCCTGCTATTTTTGTTTGTTTGTTTTTGTTTTTGTTTTTTTGTAGACCCTGCTTTGATGATGACTTGGGATTCTGAGTTATCCCTAGAGCTTCAGGCCAGAAGCAAAAATAAATCCTCTCTGGAAGAAGATCACATCATCCAGAGCATCAAATAATCTCTAGAATTCTCGTATGCGATGCACAGCACTCAGTCAAAAACAACAAGATAGGAAATAGCAAGATCAAAACCCAACAGAAAAGGCAGTGGCAGAAACAGACCCAGAGGAGATTTAAATATTGACACCGTAAGATTCTAAAACAACCGTGCTATCATGCTCTCAAGAGAATGTTGGCAAAGAACTAAAAACTATATAAAAGAACCAAGTGACAAGACAAAAACTAGAAAGAGTAAGTGAAAAATATTTCCATACGTATTTAATCAGGTTAGGCGGAACTACAGAAAATTAGTAAATGACAAGAAATGTCACAAGAAAATACCTAGATTAACACAGAGAGAGAGACAAAACAATAAAAAATTCAGAAAAGAGAATAAAAGGTAACTGGGATAAAATGAAAAGTCATAACCTGTAATAATAAACCTAAAGGGAGAGAAAAGAGAAAACAGGACAGAAGCAATACTGAATTAAAGAAAAGGCTGAGAATATTTTTAAACAGAAGAAAGACATCAAGCCAGAGAGACAAGAAGCATTTATAAACCCAAAGTGGAATAAATGTAAAACAAATAAACACCACCAAGGCAAGCGGTAGTAAAACTCTTGAAAACTAAAAAAAAAAGATCTTTAAAAACAGCCAGGGTAAACATATATACCAACAACAAAGAAATAATAAAACTAACAGCTGTCTCTGCAGCCCAAAAGCGGAAATAAGAAGACAAGAGATTACATTTTAAACTGCTGAAAAAGAATAACCGTCAAACTAAAATTATGCATTTAGAGAAACAGCCTTCAAAACTAAAGGTGAAAGAAAGATATTTGCAAACAAAAACTGTGAAAATGTATCATCGGCAGACCTGCATTAAAGGAAAAAGCAAAAACATCTTTTTCATACACACAGAAAATTATCCTAGATAGAAGATCAGAAATGCAGGAAGTAACAAAGATAAATGATGTGCTAAATATACAGGTAAATATAAATGGAACAGTCTTTTAAAACCAATGCTAATAATAACATTATCTCTGGTTTAAAATGTACATAGAATTAAAATACATGAAAACAACAGCATATAAGTTGGAATAGGGATAATAGGGATAAGTAAGGATAAAAGTAAGGTCTGGGGGCACCTGGGTGGCTCAGTGGGTTAAAGCCTCTGCCTTTGGCTCAGGTCATGATCTCAGGGTCCTGGGATCGAGCCTCGCATCGGGCTCTCTGCTCGGTGGAGAGCCTGCTTCCTCCTCTCTCTTTCTGCTTGCTTGTGCTCTCTCACTCTCAAATAAATGAATAAATAAAATCTTAAAAAAAAAAAAAAAGTAAGGTCTGGACTTCCTATTCTTGCTTTACTATTCTACAAATACTATAAATAAGTAAAGCACTAATTTATAAGAATATATGTCAGAATATCAAGAGTAATTTCTAAAAAAAGGCATGTATAACTAAGAAGACAACAGAGGGAAAATGAGAAATGGCACAATAAAAAAATACTCAATTGCTTCCAGTTCAACTAGCCTACTGAAGGATGAGAGACCATAAAAAAAAGGCAAACTATGTCACCTACAGTCCACTAGACCAACCAGCCTATTAGCCAATTATGTGCCCAGATCACCATCCAATCCCAGATAATCCATGAACTGAATGAAGAACTGGAGATTACTTAGCCATAGTAAAATAATGGTTGCCTTCAGCCACTGAGCATTAGGATTAGAGCAGAAATAGGTAACGGATTCCATAACGAGAAGCTAGGAGAAGTAGAATAAATTAAACCCAAAGAAAGTAGTAATAGAGAAATAACAAAGACAATGACACAGCTCAGTAAACTACAAAGCAAATATATGATACAGAAAACTAACAAAATCAGGTGCACCTTGGTAGCTCAGTCATTTAATTGTCTGACTCCTGGTTTTGGCTCAGGGTTGTGATATCAAGCCCCATGATGGGCTCTGTGCTTAGTACAGAGTCTGTGTGGATTCTCTCCCTCTCCCCCTCTAGCCACCATTCATGTTCTCTCTCTCACTCGCTCTCTCTCACTCTCTCAAATAAATAATAACTAAAATCTTAAAAAAAAAGAAAAACTTCAAAGTCAAAAGTTGATTCCTTGAAAGATTAATAAAATTGACAAACCCACTGTAAAGCAAATGAAATAATCACAAATTACTAAATGAAGAGGGAACATCATTATAGACTCTACACACATTAAAAAGATAAGAGATTATTATGAACAACCTGTAACAATCAATTTGGCAATTTAAATGAAATGAACAAATCCCTTGAAAATAACTCACCAAAATAGACACATGCTGAAAACTTATAAACTGATTCTAATGTATTTCCATGTAATTCTTTACATGAGAATGCAAAGTGCCCAAAATATAATATTTAAGGTTATCAAGACTAACTATAAAGCTACAATAGTTAAGGGGCGCCTGGGTGGCTCAGTGGATTAAGCCTCTGCCTTCGGCTCAGGTCATGATCCCGGGGTCCTGGGATCGAGCCCCGCATCGGGCTCTCTGCTCAGCAGGGAGCCTGCTTCCCTTCCTCTCTCTCTGCCTGCCTCTCTGCCTACTTGTGATCTCTGTCTGTCAAATAAATAAATAAAATCTTTAAAAAAAAAAAAAAAAGCTACAATAGTTAAAACAGAACCAAGCATAGATAAATAGACCGAGGAACAAAAGAGTTCAGAAGTTAAACCACACATTTATAATCAATTGATTTCTTTTTTTTTTTTTTTTTTAGGAGAGGGTGGTGGGCAGAGGGAGATAATCTAAAGCAGGCTCCACACCCAGAGCAGAGCCCAAAGTGGGGCTCAATCTTACAACTCAGAGTCACTTGATTTAATTTTTTAAAATAACACTACTGAGATATGGTTGACAAGTAATAAACTGTACCTATATCAAACAATCCTCTAAATCTTCTAAATTTGACATGTGTATATAACCATAAAAGCATTACCACTATCAAGATAATGAACCTATCTCCACAAAAAGTGATACTTTAAATGTCTCCCCCTTTTGCCTGTTCTACCCACCTCCACCCATCTCCAGATAATCACTGATCTGCTTTTTTTCACTAAAGACTAGTTCTGCCTCTTCTATGATTTTATACAAATTTAATTATACACTATTTCTATTTTATTTCTGGCTTCTTTCACGTAACATTATTATTTTGAGATTCATCCATGTTATAGCATGTATTAAGATTTCATTCCTTCTTTTTTGCTGAATAGCATTCCCTTGTAAGGGTATACCACTGTTGGTTTGTGTATTCACCTACTGATAGGCATTTAGGTTGTTCTCAGTTTTTGTCTAATAAATAAGGTATGGTAAATATTCATAAGTCTTTCTATAAAGTTATGCTCCTGGGCAAATACCTAAAAGTAAAATGGCTAGATCACATTATAGGTGTATATCTAACTTTTTCAAAAGCTGTCAAACTATTTTCCAAAATAGCTGTGCCACCTCACGTTCCCTCCAGCAGTGCATGAGTTCTAGATGCACATCTGCACCAACACTTGGTATGATTCGATTTTAATCATTCTACAGTGCTGTGTGGGGACAGATGGTAGCTACACTTGCAGTAAGCATAGCATAACATATAGAAAATAGTAATTTTAATCATTGTACTAAATATGTAGTGGTATCTTAACAGTTTTCATTTGCATTTCCCTAATAAGTAATAATGTTGGACATCTCTTCATGTGCTTATTTTCTATTCTTATATCTTCTTTGGCAAAGAGTCTATTCAAATATTCTACCCATTAATTGGGTTGTTTCCTTATTACCGAGTTTTGAGAAATCTTTGTATATTCTGGATCGAAGTCTTTGATCAGATACATGATTTACAACTATTTCTCCCAGGTCTGTATTTTGTCTTTTCATTCCCTTACCAGGGTCTTACAAAGAACAGAACTCTCTTTACTTTTTATAGTCCAGTTTATCAATTAGTTATTTTACAGTTTATACTTCTGATGCCGTATCTGAGAAATTTTCGTCGAACTCAAGGTTCTAAAGCATTTCTCCAATGTTTGCTTTTTTGAGTTTTATTGTTTCAGGGTTTTTTTTTTAATCATTTTTTTTTAATTTATTTTCAGCATAACAGTATTCATTGTTTTTGTACCACACCCAGTGCTCCTTTACAGTTAGGTGTATGACCCTTTTTTTGTTAGTTTTTGTATATGGTGCCCAGCACAGACCAATGCTCACTTTACCTAACTATTTCAACAGCAATTTGGTTACAAGTCCATTTTTCTCTAGGAAGTTCTCTTTGTACCCCTGCTGAAAATCAGCTATATGGGCCTGTTTCTGTGCTCTCTATTCTGTTTCACTGATCTATTTTTCTGTCATTTTATACCAAAATTACACTGCCTTGATAACTGGAACATTTATATGAAGTCTTGAAACAAGGTAATACGAGTTCTCCAACTTTGTTCTTTTTCAAAGGGGTTTTGAGTATTCAAGCTCATTTGCATTTTCATGTAAATTTTAGAGTCAGTTTGTCAAAATATACAAGAAAGAATCTAATAGGATTTTTAATTATGTCTGACTGTACTTAAATTTGAGTAAAGTTAACATCTAACATTGAGTCTTCTCACCCGTGAACATGGTATCTCTCTCCACTTATTTACATATTAAATTTCTTTCAGCAATGTTTTTTTAGGGTACAAATCTGTTACATCTTTGTCAGATTTAACTATAGATACATTTTCTGATACTAAGATATATACTATTTTTAATTTTTTTAATAGTATATAGAAATATAATTGATTTTTCCATATTTATCTTATATCCTGTCACCCTTGCTAAATTCACTTTTTAGTTCCACTGACTTTTTTGTAAATCTACTCAGATTTCTTAAATGGACACTCATATCAACTACAAATAGTTTCCTTGCTTCCTTTCCAATTTGGATGCCTCCATAATACTGGTGAGCCATATTTTCTCAGCTGAAGGCCTACAGAGCAAAAACAGGTTTCCCTAAAAAGACAGAATTCTTCCTCAAGAGTGCAGCATAGATTTCCTAAGTCTCCAGCCTGACAGCCTATCCTATGAATTTTGGACTCAAGACTGCAACTTTAGCTCTTGCCTCAGTTTCCAAGCTGCCATTCTGCCCTACAGATTTCCGACCTGCAGGGTCCCACAATCATGTGAACCAATTTCGTAAAAATAACTTCTTCATTCCCACCTTCCCCTATCCCTCCAGGTCACCTGCTCTCTGTATGTATGTGCTCCTGTGTCTGTGTGTGTATAAGTTCTATTCCTTCTGAAGAATCCTGACACATTTTTAAACATTCTACAAATCTCAGGATAGTTTCCACAGCAACTAATTTTCAGACTCAAAATTTAAGTAGTACTGTACTGACACTGAGGAACCCTGTGCTAGGTCAAAAGGGAAAAAAAATAACACATATGTACATGCATAATAATAAAACAAAAAAGGACATATACTTGTTCAGATAGTTGAACACTGTTCTTTCTTTTTTCTGTGTGGTTTTTATTTTTTTATTTTTTTTAAGATTTTAGTCATGAGAGAGAGAGCGAGCGAGCACAAGCAAAGGGATTGGAAGAGGGAGAGTGGAAAGTAGGCTGCCTGCCGAGCAGGGAGCCTGATGTGGGACTGGATCCTAGGACACTAGGATTACAACCTGAGTTGAAGGCAGATGCTTAACCAACTGAGCCACTCAGGCATCCCAATAGGTGAATATTTTTCATCTTTAATAGACAGTACTTTTTCCTTTTACCACTTTGATGCTGTTAATTTTATTATGAATATTAATCATAAATAAATGAAAGTAGCCCTAAAAGAAAGAGAAAATTGTGGTAAAGAAGTTTAAATTTCCCACAAACTAAAAAAAACTATGCAAATTATTTTCTGATTTGTACTTTACAATTATGGACTGAATAAAGAAAAGCTACTTACTTCTCAAAGCCTCCACATTTTCACCTTTCTTTCTGTATGTCTTCTGAATACCACTGATTCTGAAAAACACCATTTTCTACTTAAGTATTTAAAGCATAAAGATGTGTGTTTCCATACATAGTATTTTTATCAAAGCTGTCATATTTAATAGGAATTATAATAAAGTACCTTTCTACTAAAACAATAAACCTAAGAGAGCTGACAATAATTATAAAATCACTTTAAAGAAACCACAGAAGTATATACTCCTCTCCATTCTAAGTGTTATTCATTCATTTTTCTTAACAAGCCAACTTCTAAAAATAAAGCACTTCGCTGAAGGAATTTATAGGTTTCTTTTCATTTTTGATACTTTCCTATTTATAATTTATCAAATACTTGTTACATCAGTTAAGGGAGATTAAAAACCAAATGCTATAATTCACATCAGCACACATTTCAAACTATCTGTAATGTGAAGTGGTTCTCTCACTCTAGTTTAAACGTCTGAAATCACTTTTTAAAGAACGAATTGTTTCGTTAACCAGTTCAAAATCTGCCCTTGAGAAAGCAGACCATTAGCCCACTTTTATATCCTAAGTATTTGGTTCTTCCTTGCTTTTATCTTTCTCAAATTTGAAAAACACTGTTTCTTCCATTTTTCTTTTTATTTCTTTTCTCTTTCTTTTTCCTGTTATTTAAATTTGGTTTTGATTCATCTAGCAAGGTACAGTAGTGAATTTTTTTGGTTCATAGAAATTTCTTTGGTTCATAATTACCTTGTAATACCCAAAGATCTATGAAATTAACAAAGGACAATATACAATGTAGCCTGAATAAAATTATAAAGTTAATATTTATTCTGTTTAAATCTACATAATGGAGCAAATCTGAAAACAGCTTAATTGTGAAATACTAGGTTTCATTACTTTTAAAAATTTCCATTGAAACATAAAATCTCAAACCTAGCACATTACTCTAAATGATTACAAAGAAAATAAGAACTTAAGAGAAGTAGCCCACATTAATACTGTTTTAAAAATCATGAGATCTGTACCAACTCTTAAGATATAATACTTACATACATTTTTTTAAAAACAGGATTTAAATGTAGCAGTTTCCATCAATACTTCTTTTTTTTTTTTCATCAATACTTCTTATACCTAAATTGCCAATGATTAAATGATACCTTATGGCTTCTTTTCCCATAAATTCTGAAGAAACAGGCTCAACAATTTCACTAAAACTAATATTCCCATTAACATTGCCTTCTGATAACTCCTTATAATTTCTTTTGCTTTTTGACCAATATGATGGCTTTAGAAAATAAAAAGATGATCTCCGTAAGCCAAATTCCCCTGAAAAATAAAAAAACTTTATCATAACATATTATTTCTAAAAACCATGTTTTAAATCATAAAAGCAGTATGTTTTACACAAGACCTAGATCTAAAGTTTACATATAAAGTATTAAGTCATCATTGTGTGAGAAATGTTTTACTGACAAATAATTCTAGTCCATAAACAGTTTGAGATACTTACAGTGCATGAGAATATAAAGATGCGTGAAATGCATTTTCTATTCTAAAGGAACTTGTGTCTTTATGGGTACACTATAACAAGTGGCTAGAACACAATGCAGAACATGAAGCATGTCATGCATGGTACTAATAAGAGTTCAAAAGAGGAAAAGTTTATAACTAGATAGGGAACATATCCTGAAGGCTTAAATGTGTCTCATCTTAGAGAGTCAATGAAAACAGCTAATATTTAATACTTAGAAAATTGGATGTAGTTCATGGAGAAGACCTTATTTTTTTTTTTAAAAAGATTCTATTTATTTATCTGACAGAGAGATAGAGAGCACAAGTAGGCAGAGCCACACGCAGAGGGAGAGGGAGAAGCAGGCTCCCCACTGAGCAGGGAGCCCGATGCAAGGCTCGATCCCAGGATCCAGGGATCATGACCTGAGCTGAAGCAGCCACTTAACCAACTAAGCCACCCAGGTGCTCCATCATGGAGAAGCCTTTTTAAAATCAGGAGAGTAATGTAGCAACAGGAGAGGCACAGAAGACTTAGACATGGTAGACAGTAATGATTGCTCACACAGTATATATCCATTTTCACCTCTTTCCCCACAAAAACTGATACTTCCCATTTTTTACAATATCCTCTCCTCTTGTAGATGACCACACCTGATCTGATCCCAACTACAGAGAAGAACCTAACTGATCTAATCAGCATGTGGCACGCTCTGGTGATTGTTACTGCTCCAACCATAGGCATGTAACCAATTAGACAAAAGCAAAGGTTTTAGGTAGGTAGGGGAAAGATTCACTCTCCCTCTTCCCCTGGACACGAACAAAGAAGCATTCCACGGCACCCATGAAGAGAGCAAACGTGCCAGACTCAGATACAGGTGGCCAAAGCATGGAGAGAAAGGGTCCCTGCTGAAACAGTTGAGCAAGACAACCAACTCGGGGTCTATCCTATCTCTCTGGACTTCCTTTTAAGTGAAACAGCCAATTTCCTTCTTGTTTAAGTCAACCAAAATGGTTTTCTAACTAAAAACAATCTAACTGATATACTGGAGCTGTGTTTAAATAGGTAAATAGGATGAGTATAGAATACAGTAAGGAGGGAGAAAGTAAAAAGGGATTAAATATATAAAAGTATTGTGAAGGACATTAATACATAAGGAGTTTCTATTTAATTCACTAGGATATGCCCAGCGAGGTGATTTCGGAGCAGATGATTAACTTGATTAAAGGGAATGGTGAAGTTTTAGACAGACTGAAGGCAGATAATGAGATAAGAGGTATTATAATGCTGTAGACTAGTGCTGCCCAGCCTATCCCTCTGCTGGGATGGAATTGTCCTCTATCTGTACAATATGGTAACAGCTACTGAGCAGTCGGAAGGTGACTTGTGCTATGGAGGAAATGGACTGTTAAATTAATTAATTTTAATTAATTTTAATTTTAAAAGCCACTCGTGTCTAGTAGTTATCATATAAGTGCAGGTCTAGAACACAGACAAAAGTATAATGAGGAACTCAAAGGGGAAAGTCAAGGGAGTGTTAGATGTTTTAATAATATTTTGAATCTACAGGAGTTGGCTAGAGATACATGATAGATAAGGAGAATTAAATGAACTACATAAGGTGAAAACTATGAAGTTACAAGATTACTTCACAGTTTTGTACCTTAGAGAGTAAAAGAGTCAAATACTTTAGCCAAGGAAGACTGACACAGGGAAGGACAGAGATAAATTCAGTTAAGGACTTAATGTTTTCAAAAGCAAACTCCTCTTTTTAACAGAATCTCCTTATGTTCACTAGTAGTTAAGACACAGGTACAAAGTATATTTATTTAAAATTAAGTTAAAAGCTTGGACAACAAATATGATGGGGTACTCTGGCTAGAAAAAAAATTTAAATTAAATTGATGCTATATGAGCAAAAAAACTAAAAATCTTTAAAGCAAAATCTAATAACTACCTGCATACCTGGAATGACTTGATCAAGATAGATAGCCAAGAGGACATAGAATACACTATTAAGTGCTAGAATGACAATAGTAATAATTAGAGGATATGGGCCTTCAGCCAAATTAGAAAATAAAGCACCTTCATTAAAATCTTCTAAGTGCATGACCTGAAAAACAGAAACACAAACTTTATTATATAAAAATGATAAAAATAACTGAAAGCTAACACCAGAGTTACTCATTATATCCAGATTGGTGGTAACCAAACTGGGCCTTTTAACAGACTAAACAATCTACCAAATTAGTATGAATTTACAAGGAAAACAACAGAAACTTCACTAAAATATAAATTTATCACAACAATCTATTTCAATCCTTTTTAATGTTATGTTTCTAAAACTTGTTAAAAGGAGTATACATCCACTCTTGGGGCTTTTAATTCTGATGCAATGACTATCAAATGAAATAACAATAAAATATCCAATTAACAGTAACTGATGCAAACAAATGGTCCATGTGGCAGTCAAGCAAATTAAGTATTAGAGGATAAAATTATGATCAGCATCCTTTCAATGCTGAAAATAGGAAGGTATTCTGATTTGATTAACACAACTATTACATTGTTCATAGTAGATAAATACGAGAGAGCAGAAAGAAATATACTAGAGGCTGAGGCCTCATTTAGGTCCTAGATCTGCCATTAAGTGAATAAACTTTAATCACACCACTCTGGATCTCAGTCTCCTCCTCCGTGAAATGGAAGATGGGTTAAATAAACATCAAAAGTCCCTCCCACAATGAACAAAACATATGAATCTCTAATTCTACCTCTCTAAGTTGAAGGAGAACTCAATGGACTCTTAAAATGTATAAACAACAGTTCTTAGGTCCAATGTAATTAAAACTCATTTAATGCAATGCTCATAAACAATCTATCTTAGATCTCACAAATCAGAATATTCTATCTAGTCAACATGAATCATCTCTTATATTAGTAGTTATATTTTCTCTTTATACATTAAACAAATTTATGTTTTATTATATAAAGCAATTTCTCATAAGAATTTTTCCCTTAGAACCTGACTGCCCCTGTAAAGACTAATAAAAATCAAATAAATACTTTAAAAATAAATGAATATAAATATTATTTAGGTGAATGACAATCCTATGAACCCGAACACAGTAAAATCCACCAGGTCTACTTATGTCATTAATACAGTCATGAAAATTTGTTTTGCTTACACACAATTTTCTGCCAGGTACACATCTGAGATAAATTCACAAAAGGAGCAATGTACCCAGGCCACAGAGCAATCCAGATTACCTGATGCTTAAAACAATGACATCTAACAAACTGAATTATTGCAGTGAAATAGATTATTGAGACACACTAACACATGGAGTAGAAAACTTATAAACAGATCATGTAAATGAAAAACTTAGCAATGAAGAAAATGTAAATAAAATCCAGTAAAATGTACTCTAGTTTCAAATAGGATTACTTTCTCATGTGGACATTTTAAAATAATTTCTTCGCAAATCCAGGATAGTATGCACTGTAGTATAACAGGCTGCATGGAATTGGAAGAAAAAAAATATTTAGTGAAAGCAAGATGACTATATTACCTACCTGTGCAATACCAATCAAAAAAGTACACTGACAGAAAGGACTGAAAAGCCACACTAATGATTTGGGAAAACTTTCCATGAAGACTATCAAAAGGCCAACAAATCCGAAAGCCACGGTGACTAAAAATTCAACTATTCCCACGTGTTTTGATTTTTTAAAAAGAGGTGTCAGCATTAAAGCAAAAAATATCTGTAAAATATAAATATTAAGATTAATGCATTGTTCATATACATAGGTATGAAAATAAAATTAATTTTGCTTGTAAAAGAACAAGTTATTTTCATTGGCTAATACATTCACTGAAATACTTTCTAAATGCTATCTATGGTAAAATATTTTATTTTCATGTAAATCATGATAAATACATAACAAAACTTAAGATGACAAATGTTAAAAACTACAATTTACCTACATAAGGCAAACATGGTTACTTCTACACTACAGAAACCATAAACAGTCACATGTTTCTGCAGTTAGATATATATATATATATGTGACCAAAACAATAAACCAACCAGCTTTTAAAAAGAGAACCTATCTTTTAAACTCAATGTGTTAATAAGAAGCAAAATCAGTTAACTGTATATAGAAGTCTGAGTTGTCTGTAAATCATCATGTTAAAAAGCAAGGTTGAGAATCAAAAAATTTAACCAGTACAGCATAGACACATAAGCCAATCAAAATGGAAACTGGAACTACTGGAAACAACAGCTGCATTCAGCCAATATACCAAATGAATATCAACACTGCCAAAGAGCTATATTTACAAAGGCATACCTTTATAAATCATCACCCTATAACATAAATTAACTTGAAATAGTCAGGAATTCATGAAAATAAAGGGTCTGAAAAAACTCTAGTACTAGACAATCTTAACTATACACATAATTTGATTATATGAAGACAGTAAAAGACTCAGAAATTTGTACGTGAAATACATTATATGAAAACAAGTTAAATTTGAGACTATTTTGTACCTTTCCTAAAAATCTGGAGGTAAAATGATGCTATACAAAATTCATTTATCAGTAACCTAGTAACAAATCAACTATAAGTTAACCAAAGAATAATAATTCGCTATATTAATCAACTACTTTGACAGTTCTTTATTCCCATTTCAAGTTAAAATACTCACAGACGATAACCCATACAGGAAAAAAAGTAGAAATATCACAACACAGCTACTTTGAGGGAATAACGAAGAAGCTGTTGCAATGACTGCCATAAGAAGGGACATAAGAAAAATCAAACTTGTATACAGAAGAACCCAGGAAAGCCTATAATGAGAATATAAACGTATTTATGGTTACATGCATAAGCTTTAACAATTAAAAATCATTTCAAACAAAACTTCAGCTTTATTTTAGCAATTTTATTCTTAAAATTGTTTATTCTCTCCTATGTATGTTCATTTACTAAAAATTCATGCTCTTACAACTAATTAAAAATACATTAGTTAAGTTAAAGATAAAAGTACAACCTGATATAGAGGTAAAATAGTGATTATCTTTTGAGTCAAAAAAAACTTCACAAATTAATAGCAATTTATGACTAATTTAAATCTAATATTCTCAAAAGTTCAATAATGTACAACATTTCTGATTTTCTTAAAATACAGAAGAGTCTAATGACAATTTTCTTATGCCCTGGGATATAATTAAACTTCTGACAGCTTTTGGTACTTTAAAACAACACTAATCAACTAATCAACACAATCACTAATAAACAACATACTTACTACATTTATACAGTGTAAGATAAAGATCAACAATGGACTCGCTATATTTACTCAAAATTTCTTCCCAAATCAGAGTTCAATGGAACTGCTACAGTATTTGGGTTTGTTTGTTTTTTTAATGTAAGCAGATCATAATCTATGTGTGCTACCATAAAAGCAATGAAATAGGACTATAAGATACCTACATTACCAAAACTGACTTCCCATCATTTTACAGAGGCAAAACGGAGGCACTAAGAAATTGATTTGTCTAAATGCTTTCAAATACCGCTTCCTCACAAATCACTTTAATAATTTAATGCATCTTAAAAACCAATCACTACTCAAATAACAGGAAAAAAAAACATGCAAAGAAAATACACTATACACAATGACCTCATTATGTAAAGTGATATTATTAAAGTGCTATAATTAATTGCTGCATTGGGCTAAATGGAATAAAATTTTATAAAATGGACTATAATAGCAACTCACATACACAGTATTAACTTTACCCCAAAGTGAGGTCAAAATAAGTTTTCCTACTACACAGTGGGAAAAGTAAGGAAAATTCACTCAGAATTATTTATAAAAAGTCACACCTCTATAACATCATCATTATATAAAATTGCTGACCCATAAAAGCTCACTTGTGAAAACACTTTTCAAATTTGCTTCTCTATAAACTATCTTGTATATTTTCATCTTAATTCATGCAAATGACTTTTTTCCCAGGGGGAAAATCCCACATACCACATATGCAAACTTCAATCATTTTAATTAAATTTTTAATAAATGCATATGCTATGATATTGGGGGGAAGAGTATAACACAATTAATTTCTAACTTTCCAAAATCCTTCATGTTCTAGATACTGAAATACAAAGAACACACCTCATCAATTAAGACAAAATGTGAAATAAAATTTAAAGTTATATCAACATCAGTTTTTCAAATCCCATTTCCCTTATGGTTTAAAAAAAAAGAAGAAGAAGCCAATATATTGTTAAAGCTTATTATTGCCTTAGTCTCATATTCCAAGACAAAGGCAATCATTGCAAGTAAAAAGGATCAGCACCTCAACTTGAGCGAAAAACAAAATTACAATCTGACGATCTACAATCTACAATCAGCACCTCAACTTGAGAGAAAAACAAAATTACAACGTGACGATCTTTACAATTAATTACTAATCACACTAAACAATAAACTTGTAATAACATACCAAAAGGCAGTGTCATGAAGTCCCATTATCTTTAAAAACTCCTTTAACTTTTTCTCTTTTTCTGCTACGATATGAATTGCCAAAAAGTATCCAAAAGGTGAAAATGCTATAACTAGGTATATTAAAATAACTCCTCGGGGAAAGGTATCTATCTCAACCACAGAAGTTTCTCCCATAATGACAGCTCTAGTTGACTCCAGTTCCTTCCAAAAGGAAACATTGGTCTTCAGCTAGAATTGGAAAATAAAAATATAATCAGTGAATTTAATGCAGGTAGTGGCCCCCAATAAAATGTGACAATTACACTCCCAAATTTGGTACAAACCTATTACAAATACAATTCTCAAAAACCACACCTGAAATAAAGTAACTGACTACAATATCATGATATAGCATACATTATTGCTTTTATTCATTCTGGAAGTATACCATAAAGTCTGTAGTTAAGTCTATAAATTTTGATGAAATAACTTGTCAAAGAAAATAAAATTTAACAATATCTTCTTAACCAGACAATTATATACATCTTAACAAAAATACGCATTTATAAAATTGAGAATTAAGGAATGATTATAGTACCATGAAAGACTCTCTTTAAAAAATTTTTTTAAATTATATGTTCTATTGTTTTAAGATCTATATACGCAGCATGTATAGACAGAATTATACAATTTTATGCCATATGATACTTCTACCTTGTCTAAAATAATATATGCTCTGCTTATCCATCCAGTGTGGTCTAGGCTGTGAATGGCTAAGGTCTTTGGCCAAAACACAAAAAAGTAGTATAAAAGTGTTATACTACTTTTATGCGATAGATCCTATATTTCACTGTCTTTACCTTAAACTTCTATATTATTGAATTTGGGTAATATTAATACATTATACCATCTTGTAAGAGTTTATAAGACAATCCTATACCTATCAGTTGGTTCTTAAAACAACCCTGTCAAATAAAGTATTATGATTGTAGTCAGTTTACTATATAGCAGTCTAACAACTAACAGAGATAGGTGTCCTATTCAAGGTCTCCTGTTCTTTTATACTAAAATGTGAGACACTCGATAAGGTCTAAATGTCTTTAGATGATAATTGTAACAGTTATACACAATCCTAGTCCTGGTGGCAGTACAGTATTCAAACACAAAGTTGGGAGGCAAAAAGCCAGAGTTTGAATTAGCTTTGCCACTAATTAACTGAATTTTGGAAAGTCACTTAATCTCCCTGTGCTTCAGTTTCATTTTTAAAACGGAGAGAGCAATGGCACAGATCTCATATGGTTGTTACAGATTAAATGGATTCATATTAGTATATCACTTAGAAGCAATGCTTGGCAGGCGCCTGGGTGGCTTAGTCAGTTAAGTGTCTGCCTTCAGCTTAGGTCATGATCCCAGTATCCTGAAATCAGGCCCCACATCAGGCTCCCTGCTCCACAGGGAGCATGCTTCTCCCTCTGCTACAGCCTCTCTCTGTCTTTCATGAATAAATAAATAAAATCTTAAAAAAAAAAAAGAAAATCTTTAAAAAAAAAGAAAAAGAAATGATGCTTGGCAAATAAGTGATAAATTTTTATTACATAAAAAAATGAAATCTACTACTATAATTAACATTATAAAAATACTTACTTTCTTTAACTTGTTTTTATTCAAGGGAAAAGTCTGCAAATATACATCTTTCATAAGTATTACCTATGGTCAACACAGATACAACAATACAGATATATGGAATGCTAAGTTCACGTGCTTAGAAACCATCAAATAAAAGTGGGAGTCTGAAAAATATTTAATCAGAAAACATGACTTCTTCCTTACCTTTTTTTCTTAAAGAGCTGTAGTATGTATTCTGTACATATGACAGTAGACAAATTCCTAACTATAAAGACTTAGGGCATAATTGTCAAAATATGGTTTGGCTTTCTCTCTCTCTCAAATAAATAAAATCTTTAAAATATATATATATATGGCTTAGCTTTATTTTACTTCCTTCATCATAGTTACCTGTATAATGGCTGCATCTATGGATGCTTGTAAAACTGTGAACCCTGAGGTCCAGTACTGAGCAGCCTCACACGATGTTGAACAGCCAGCTATGGGGACAAAATGTGAGACAGAAATATCTGCACAACATTCAAGTGCTTTCTTTTATATGGAGGGTTGCTAAAGCAATATAATTAATTAATCTCCATAGGACCAAAGAAAATAAGGAGCTGTCCTTTGAAGGCAGAGAATAGCACATTCTTTATTATTTATTTGGAAGTTTTGAAATAAAACGGTTACATAGAAAGAAATCAACTGTAACCATGGTTATTTAAAATAAGTCACTTTTCTGTTTCAAGGTAAGTCATTCTACAGTGACTTAATCAGATTCAAAGCACATCCAGTTGCCAGGACAAGTCCAGGTTAAGAGGACAGGAAAAAAATTTTTTTCTAAGTGCCTTTTGGAATCAAGTCACAAATTCAACACTCAGCATAAGGGACTTCAACATTGTTCAATAAATGTTTGTGGTTGATAGTATCTCTTTAGAGGTTTAAGCACTGAAGGTTGTTTTCCATGATATAAACATAAAACTAATAAAGTTCATTGGTCCAAGACCTTGAAATTTTGAAGATATGTAGCACACCACATGTGAAAAACAATTACATGGAGAAAAAAATGCTGATTCAGAAAGTCATATAATTCAAGATAAAATTTTGCTGTTACTGTAATGAAGATATATTTAAATGTATTATATGTATTATATATAATATACTATATACTATATATGTATTATATAAATGATGATATATATATAAATGTATTAACATTAAAATGGATGTTATATAAATTATATTTCATATTACATATAGATGTAGACAGATATTTGTTTATACATATATATTTATGCTACACTTGACTGTTTTCTTCTCTGAACAAGAAAGTACAGTTGAAAATGCCAATGTTGGAGACAATCAAATTTTGCATATGAACTAAAACCAGAAAGACATGCATTTACTTGATTTACAAGATCGTTTAGGGCTATTTACCTCTTGAATCCATATAAACAGAAGACACTGGAATCATATCAGGAAAAAAACGAAGTTCATAGGACATGAAGTCTTTGAAAACCACACCCACAAAGTTGTTGGGTTTAGAAAGACTGGATACTAACAATTCTCTTTCAGTTGCATATTCCTCAGTAATTATAACTGTAAAATATTATAACAATAAAGTTAACTCACAAATTAAAAGTTTACTATCATACAACAGGCCAAATTTAGCATAATATTTGGTGAATATAGTATTTTATAAGCACTTCTGTTTTATTCTCTAACTTTCAAGAAAATAGAGCCATTCTAAAAATATACATGATAATTAATAACAGTACAACTTCAGACACTATTTCTCAGCTGTCATCTGAGTACATAAATTTTATGTCTGTGTAACACATAAAAGTTATTAATATGATGAAGTCCAGCATATACTTTTTATGCAGTATATGCAGTTCACTTATCTATTTCAAAGTAAACCATACAGATAACTCCTTGGTAAGTGAATGGATATTTTATTTTCAAGTATTTCTTCTGAAGAAGAAAATTCCATTATCCTTCTCAGAAACCAAATATGTACTCTGGTAACTAAGACACAACTCTCCTTTGAATAAAAAATTGCCATTTCAACCCCATTATTGCTTGTTCCTTTCCTAGAAGATGTATGGAGAAAATAATCTCTACTGAGATTCCTTTCACATCAAATAATCCCAATTTTTAAATATTTTCTTAGAGTTTTATTTACAAGCAACTAGTGTTCACTACAGAAGCTTCAGGACATGTGGTGAAATGGAAGAACACAGGATTATGTGCTTAACTATGTTACTTACTAACTGTGTGAGCAGAGATAAGCAAATGAATTCTCCGAACTCCAGCATCCTCATCCTTAATACCTAGCTGATTACACTAGTTGTTAAGAACGAATGCAATTACAAACATAAAAATGCTCTGTAAATTATAAAGTATTACCTCAGTGTTAATCGTCATGATTTTCTGGACCTTGAAGGTGAACACAGATTGATCTGACTAAAGAGGGTGTTAGTTCAACATCTTACCAGTCATGTTGCCATATATGGATGCGTGTACCACTTTCACACAGTTCTGTTGTTAAAAAGACAGAACTTTTTAAAAGTATCTATATATATTTCTACTATTTTAGCATCTAAGTTAATACACACTGACTTGCGTTTCTCTGGTGTATATGCTTTCCTCTAAGTCAGAACTATCAAAGAATTTTGTTCTCAACATTTCTGATCAGTTTTTTGAGTTGGCATGCTAAATGCTTATGGCTATCCATGCTACTTATGCTCAGGTAAACCAACAAACATACCAATAAGATATTAAATAGTAGTAAGTCAAGAAGAAACCAATAGGAGAAAGTTATCTGGCTCCTGATTGTATAAGCATTGTCTATTCAGTGATGCATTATCCAGAACTATGACGATACATACTAGAAGTTAATTAAAACTATCTGATTATATAAGACAACATGTTAATCTGTTATTTTCAGCAATTTAGTATTTCATTAAATTAATCATCATAGTATAAATTGTCACTTCCTCTAGTTCTTGTCTTGGATTCTCTCACAGCCAACTTTAGGCTCATTAGTATCACATCATTTACACTGTTTTCCAGTCTATCTCTTGTGAGAAGTACAAACTGAGAGAAATAGACTTAGGTACTTAGCCACAGTCATCGTCTCCAAAGGTAAGCACCACTTCTGTTTACACCATATACCTCCATAAATAAGCATGGCAGTCTGAAATGATTACTGCTTTGTAATCTTTATACCTCCAGCTTATTATATGGGTCAGAATCAAAAGGAAATATGCCTTCAAATCTTTTATCCTGTATAAATATGCTTATTTTATAAATGGTCTGAGAAATATAAAATATTAAGACCTATAAAACGTGCTTCAGCAGGATTGAATGATTTAATAATTTTTATTAAACTACATTTTGGTGAGGGGACATATCTTTAAGTGTTAAGAGTGTAATTTACTCAGTAAAGCAAGCAGAAAAATACTGTTACAGATAGAATCCATATATAAGTTCACAATACCCTCAGGAAGGTGGTCAGTAGAAACTTTTTGCATGATGTTTCTTGTAATATTAGTCACTGGAGTATATCCCAGAATTAGGTTAGACAGAATAGATTTGTCCATAGGGTTAAGTTCTATGTCAGGCACTTCTTCGTATTTCTTATTTGGATGCATCATACTAATTAATATTAACCAAAATAAAAAAAATAATGGAAAAAGAATTTCCTATAATAAAGGAGACAAACAAGATGGTTACAAAATATACCACTGGCAGCAAATATCATCAAGATATCTATGCAAACAATGTAATACCAAGGACAAAACAGGAGGAATCTGGGTATCCTTTCTTAAGCACAAAAAGTAAAAGCAATTCTATCCTGAAAGAAATATTACACTGAGCATCTCACCTAACCCAACAGCAATATTAGACAATTTTTCCTTTATATTCAGTTTCACTGTAATACTTTAAAATTCAAGTCACATAATAAATTAAAATGACATAAACACTAATATTTAAAGTTCTCAGATTACTAAATGGAAAATATAATAATAATTTTACTTACATATAACATTATTTAAATTAACTTACCAAACAGCTCTATTAGGGCTCACCATAAAAATATCTTTATTCAAATCTAATTTAAAACTCATGCTTTAATTATACCTAAATGTCTACTATTAAAACTATATTCTGTTAAGCTGAATAATCAGTTTTAATAGGGATGAACTATTTACTGTTTCACCTGTTTAATTGTTTTACTGGTTTCAGAAAAGGAACAATATATTTTCAGCCTTTAGAATTATTAACTGGTTAGCCAGAGTTATTACTTTCTTTTATCTTTTAAAGTAATATATATTGTTGAAAACAAATACATGACATAATTTTAGTAATCTTGGGTAATTCAATCCAGAGTTCAAATGATGGGAAGTCACTGGGAATAAACTGTGGAAAAGTTCCAAAGTTTCCTGTGGAATTATTTTTTAATTCCATGAAACCTGGGAAATGCATGTCTAAAGTTCAAACTTAAGCACTGATATCAGAAATTAACTACATTTAGAAATCATTATTAAAATTTTTAACATTCAGAAAGCTTTAGGTAATGTAGGTACTTCACTGTGCTGACACAAGTTTTATTTCTTAAGCATATTAGAGAGACCTAATGATATCAAAATATAATAAAAATGTACCCAGAAAAATAAATCCTCTTAAAGATGAAATATGTCAGTACAAAAATGGCAATAAGGCATAAGAAAGTTATTTAATTTACCTGAACACTACTTTTTTTAGTCCTGCATTTGATTAGGTAATTCTTCAGTAGGAGTGTTCTGGTCTGTCTCCAAATTCCCACCTCCCTAATTGCAGTAGCCATGTTTTCTGAATCAGTCTGTTAAAAGAGTAGATGAAAAAAACTGGAACCACACATTAAGCGCATGTCCTTTAATAGCAAAACATAGCTTTTTCAGTCTCAGGTTAGATGGAATTAAGCATACTCCGACCTGTCTCTCCTATCTGGACAGAATGCATGCAACATCAGTTTGAAGACCCTGAAAACTAAACAGCAGCATGTGAAACAAGAGGGAACTAGAATTCAAAATCCCCACAACAGTGAGCTCACCACTTTTTCTTTTTTCATATCCCCAAACTAAATGCACTGGAAGTAGACACTGGGGCAGAGAAACCAAGGTCCAAAAGCTCTCTAGTACTGGCTTGAGAACTCAGAAAGGAAAGTTTGTTCACAGAGAATGCGAAACTACCCAACTTTCTTCCTTTCCTACATTCTCTTATGCCCTCTTCTCCAAGCAATCACATGATAGCAGTGTCAGATTGCAGTAATCAAAGTTTAATGCAGCCCCAACTCTGAAGCAAGAAAACCTTCCTCACCAGTAAGCGGAGCTATACCTCAAATAGGGTGCGGCCAAATCCCAAGGTGTTCTTCTCCTGCCCCTGGGCTCTGGATGTGGTGGATGCAGTTGCACAAGTGCGTCGCCCAATGGGGCAAATAAACTCTAGCATTCTGGCTGTATGATGGAAATGAAAAGCCATAGGGAATTCGAAAGTAGTAGGGAGTGCAAATAAAAAGAAGAGCTTAGGAAAGCAACATAATAAAGTTGTTTATTAACTCCTAGACTAACTAACCCCAAAGCCAGGCACACATGGATCTAATCCTATTCTGTGTACCAAAGACCTGAGGAACTGAACTAAAAGACAGCCTACTGCCCAGATCCAGACTGACTATAAGGTGGCATACACAGGACAGATCCAAATGGCACTACAAGGGCTTTTGAGAAGTAAACCAAAATTAGAAATACAACTCAAAGAATGCAGATGAAACCTGTGGCCTGAACCTAACCAGGTTGACAGCATGCTAGAATTAAGTATCAATACTTTGCATACAATCAAAACAAAACCCAGTCTCATACAATCCAAAACAACTCAGCAGAAGTAGTGGGTGGAAAACAGCAACTCTCTTAAGAAAAGAAAAATCAGCAGATGCCAATGCCAAGATGACAAATTTTGGAATATTCAAACAAAAACTTTAAAGTAGATATTTAAAAAGTGTTCCAGCAAACAACAGCAAGCATTCTTGAAAAAAATGAAAAATTAAAAAAACCTTAGCAAAGAAATAAGACATAAAGTAGCACCAAAGAGAAACTTTAGAACAGGGGTTCTTGGGCAGCTCAGTCAGTTAAGCATCTGCCTTCGGCTCACGTCATGATCCCAGGGTCCTGGGATCTAGCTAGCCCTACACGGGGCTCCCTGCTTAGCAGAGAGTCTGCTTCTCCTTTTCCCTCTGCTGCTCTGCCTAATCATTCTCTCTCTCTCTCTCTCTCACTCAAGTAAATAAATAAATCTTAAAAAAAAAAAAAAAAGGAACTTTTGAACAGGAAAACACAATGACAAATAACTAAAACCCATGGAATGGGCTCAACTGTAGAACAGAGATAATAGAAAAAGTCAGTGAACTTCACAGACTAAAAGGTGCTATCCATTCAGTCTGAACCACAGAAAGAAAATGGATTTTTCAAAAAATTAACATTGCCTTAGAGAACCATGGACATTAACAAAGGTCTGACATTCAAATTATCAGAGTTCCAGAAAGGAGAGAAGAGTGTTAATGATAAAAACTATTTTGGGCAAGAAGTAAAAATCTACAAGTTCCAAGAAGTGAATCCCAAAGAGTATAAATCAAAGGAAATCCATATCCATACACACCATAATCAAACCATTAAAAATTAAAGACAGTAAAAAACCTTGAAAGCAGTCACAGAACCATGCATTACCTACAGTGGAATAATGACTTGAAGGAGAGCAGATTTCTCATAAGAAACTCAGTGGTTAAACTGGAAACTCTTACACTGCTGGTGGAGTGCTGGTTCAACTGCTGAGGAAAACAGTTTGTCAGCTCCCCAGAAAGTTAAACATGGAATGACCATATCTCCCCACTACTCCATTTCTAGATATATACCCAAAAGAACCCCAAAATACAGAAAACAGGGAATCAAACAAGTGCATGTTCACACTGGTTCATAACAGCCCTATTCATATTTGCCAAAGATAGAAACAGCCCAAATGTCCATAAACAGATGAACGGATAAACAAATTGTGATATATACACACAATTAAATATCCAGTCATAAAAAGGAATTAAATACTGACATATGCTACAACAAGGATGAACCTCCAAAACATTATGCTAAGTGAAAGAAGACAGACACAAAGATCAAATATTATATGATTCCGTTTATTTGGAATTTCTAGAATGTATAAAGCCATAGAAATGAAATCAAATGGAGATTAGTGGTTGCCAGAGCCTGGGGAGAGAATAAAGAGAAACTGCTTACTGAGTAAGGGGTTTTACTTTGAAGTGATGGGAACAAATTTCGCCTTAATTTTTTTTTTTTAAACAGTATGACTAAAGGGTACCTGAGTGGCTCAGCCAGTTAAGCGTCTGACTTCAGCTCCAGTCATGACCTCAGGGTCCTAGGACTGAGCCCCAAGGTTGGCTCCTTGCTCAATGCACAGTGTGCTTGTCCCTCTGCCTCTTCCCTAGCTCATGCTCTCCCTCAAATAAATAAAATCTTTAAAAGCAAAAAGAAATATAGCATGACCTAAATCACTATCACAGGTCCAGTATCCCTCTTCCAGCCTAACTGTACCCTTTGAAGGTCCTTGGAGCTCCTTCTGCAAGTGGACCTCTGTTGGAGCTATCTCAAATTTTCAAAGAGGTTATATTAAAGCTGAACTCAAGAGAAGTGGCCAGAGTCTCAACCGCAATCTCTGTGGTCTCATTTGCTTACTCCAATAACCTAAAATTTCTACACACCAGAGGGTACTGAGAGGGCAGCTTGAAAGCCACAAAAAAAAGTCCTGTTAGGCCATCTTCTAGAATGTTAATTATTGCCTTATTGTATCTAAAACCTATTTGATGGGGGCCACTGGTGTGTTTCCCTCCAAAACAAGAACAATCCATTCCAACTTGGCTGACCATCTCCACCTAGATAAAAAAAAACAGGCAACTTTTTAGAGACAGTTCATCTTACTCAAAAAGGTAAATATAAATTAAGTTTTGATTAAGTAAGTATCCTCTTTATGTGCACAAAGAGAGATTTTTTAAACAATGGAATTATAGACAACTTTTACTTTCTTTGTGCTTTTTTTCCATTTTCTCAATTTTCCTATTAATATGTGTTACTCACATACTAAAAAAATTACAGCAGTGCCTGGCTGGCTCAGTCAGAAACACATGCAACTTTTGATCTCAAGGTTGGTAGTCTAAGCCCTAACCTCAGTGTAGAGATTACTTAAAACTAAATTAAAAGTTCTTTAAAAAATGGTACAATTAGACATAATGTAAAAAATATTAAATAAGTAGATTAAAAACAGAACTAGTAAAGCAGTCAAGAATGGAGGATACATTAAAAATAAATTCTTCCAACAGTCTCAATGTTATATTAGATTCTGTAAAGAACTGATAATCATCTCTAGGCCAAAAAGAAGAAACAAACAAAAAAAGAAAAAATACACTCATTCAAGGATGATCTACTACAACACAAACAGAAACATTAACCAGTACAGCAAGAACATTCTCATTATCTGCCAAAACACATTGATTTAGTGAGCACCAATGAATTATTCATTCAAATTGAATGCTGCATGCTTAAGTAAGCCTTCATTTTTAGAAAACAGGCTCCTCATAAAGTTGCTGATGGACTCACAAATATTTTTCTTCCTTGAGAACTGCTCCCTGAACTCAGGATTTTGTCTTTAACAGGCTCGTCTGAAGTTTGTGAACACTTGGACCTACCCCACCACTAATCAGGGCTTTTTACAGCAAAACTTACTTCTACCCTCTATGTGGGGAAAAAAAGGCAGAAGGAAATGTAGACAAAATTAAATGTCCTTATAACCTGCAGCCCACTGACAAACAACTTGAGGCAGGCAGAGCATAATGTTCCTCCAGAAAGCTCCCAACAATCTTAACATCAATGCCTCGCTGGAGGGAAAAACTACCTCAGATTAACAACAAGCCACGCCTCCACTATCCTGAGAGTCTTCTTTAGCACCAGAAAATCCTTTTGAAACTTCCCTCTGCCTTTACTTCCCTCAACCCCAAAGTATATAATCAGTTGTCCCTTATGATCCCAGGGCTGCAGGTCCCCCCTACAGGTCCTGTCCCCATGCTTTAATAGAACCACCTTTTGCATTGAAGAAATCTCAAGAATTCTTTCTTGGCTATCAGCTCTGGACCCCAACACTACTCCAAAAACATATCACCCTCTATCTTCCCACCATGCCAAGAGACACACAAACCATGGCCATCCCCACCACTCCTACCTCTATGGCTACCCCTGATCTGTAATCAATTTTCTCCTGGAAGCATGGAATTTTTAACTAAGATCCGGAGACTGAGAGTCATGTAAACAGTTACATTAATGGAAACATGTAAGAAAGAAAATTCAGGAGCGCCTGGTTGCTCAGTGGGATGAGCCCCATGTTAGGCATAGAGCTTACTTAAAAGGGGAAAAAAAAGAAAAGAAAAGAAAGTTCATGCACTCTTGGTACTATGCTTTCCATTAAAGTATGATACCTCCTGTGCCAAAACTTGGTTTTTCTTTCTTATGGTATGTGAAATGCCCTATTATCCACCTAATATATTTTATTTTCACATAAGCTAGCAAGAATCAGATTCTGGGGGCGCCTGGGTGGCTCAGTGGGTTAAAACCTCTGCCTTCAGCTCAGGTCATGATCCCAGGGTCCTGGGATCGAGCCCCGCATCGGGCTCTGCTCGGCAGGGAGCCTGCTTCCCTTCCTCTCTCTCTGCCTGCCTCTCTGCCTACTTGTGATCTCTGTCAATTAAATAAATAAAATCTTTTAAAAAAAAAT